GATTACATGACCAATTATATCCCTGAGTCACAACGGGAGACAAGCAAGGGTTACAGGGACCAATGATGCCCCCGAGTGACAACGGGAGACAAGACAAGGGTTACAGGGCCTAATGATGTCCCCGAGTGACAACGGGAGACAAGCAAGGATTACAGGGACCAATGATGTCCCCGAGTGACAACGGGAGACTAGCAAGGGTTACAGGGACCAATCATATCCCCGCGTCACAACGGGAGACAAGCAAGGATTACGGGGACCAATCATATCCCCGCGTCACAACGGGAGACAAGCAAGGGTTACAGGGGCCAATGATGTCCCCTAGTCACAACGGGAAACAAGCAAGGGTTACAGGGACCAATTATATCCCCTGAGTCACAACGGGAGACAAGCAAGGGTTACAGGGACCAATGATGCCCCCAAGTGACAACGGGAGACAAGCAAGGGTTACAGGGACCAATGATGTCCCTGAGTGACAACGGGAGACAAGCAAGGGTTACAGGGACCAATGATGTCCCCTAGTCACAACGGGAGACAAGCAAGGGTTACAGGGACCAATGATGTCCCCTAGTCACAACGGGAGACAAGCAAGGGTTACAGGGACCAATGATGCCCCCGAGTCACAACGGGAGACAAGCAAGGTTACAGGGACCAATGATGCCCCTGAGTCACAACGGGAGACAAGCAAGGGTTACAGGGACCAATGATGTCCCCGAGTGACAACGGGAGACAAGCAAGGATTACGGGGACCAATCATATCCCCGCGTCACAACGGGAGACAAGCAAGGGTTACAGGGACCAATGATGCCCCCGAGTGACAACGGGAGACAAGCAAGGGTTACAGGGACCAATGATGTCCCCTAGTCACAACGGGAGACAAGCAAGGGTTACAGGGACCAATGATGTCCCCTAGTCACAACGGGAGACAAGCAAGGGTTACAGGGACCAATGATGCCCCTGAGTCACAACGGGAGACAAGCAAGGGTTACAGGGACCAATGATGCCCCCGAGTCACAACGGGAGACAAGCAAGGGTTACAGGGACCAATGATGCCCCCGAGTCACAACGGGAGACAAGCAAGGGTTACAGGGACCAATGATGCCCCCGAGTCACAACGGGAGACAAGCAAGGGTTACAGGGACCAATCATATCCCCGCGTCACAACGGGAGACAAGCAAGGGTTACAGGGACCAATGATGTCCCTGAGTGACAACGGGAGACAAGCAAGGGTTACAGGGACCAATGATGTCCCTGAGTCACAACGGGAGACAAGCAAGGGTTACAGGGACCAATGATGCCCCCGAGTGACAACGGGCGACAAGCAAGGGTTACAGGGACTAATGATGTCCTTGGGTGACAACGGGAGACAAGACAAGGGTTACAGGGACCAATGTTGTCCCCGAGTCACAATGGGAGACAAGCAAGGGTTACGGGGACCAATGATGACCCCGAGTGACAACGGGAGACAAGCAAGGGTTACGGGGAGCAATTATGTCCCCTAGTCACAACGGTAGACAAGCAAGGGTTACAGGGACCAATGATGCCCACGAGTGACAACGGGAGACAAGACAAGGGTTACAGGGACCAATGATCCCACCGAGTGACAACGGGAGACAAGCAAGGGTTACAGGGACCAATGATGCCCCCGAGTCACAACGGTAGACAAGCAAGGGTTACAGGGACCAATGATTTCCCCTAGTCACAACGGGAGAGAAGCAAGGGTTACAGGGGTCAATTATATCCCCTAGTCACAACGGGAGACAAGCAAGGGTTACAGGGGCCAATGATGTCCCCTAGTCACAACGGGAAACAAGCAAGGGTTACAGGGACCAATTATATCCCCTGAGTCACAACGGGAGACAAGCAAGGGTTACAGGGACCAATGATGCCCCCAAGTGACAACGGGAGACAAGCAAGTGTTACAGGGACCAATGATGTCCCTGAGTGACAACGGGAGACAAGCAAGGGTTACAGGGACCAATGATGTCCCCTAGTCACAACGGGAGACAAGCAAGGGTTACAGGGACCAATGATGTCCCCTAGTCACAACGGGAGACAAGCAAGGGTTACAGGGACCAATGATGCCCCCGAGTCACAACGGGAGACAAGCAAGGTTACAGGGACCAATGATGCCCCTGAGTCACAACGGGAGACAAGCAAGGGTTACAGGGACCAATGATGTCCCCGAGTGACAACGGGAGACAAGCAAGGATTACGGGGACCAATCATATCCCCGCGTCACAACGGGAGACAAGCAAGGGTTACAGGGACCAATGATGCCCCCGAGTGACAACGGGAGACAAGCAAGGGTTACAGGGACCAATGATGTCCCCTAGTCACAACGGGAGACAAGCAAGGGTTACAGGGACCAATGATGTCCCCTAGTCACAACGGGAGACAAGCAAGGGTTACAGGGACCAATGATGCCCCTGAGTCACAACGGGAGACAAGCAAGGGTTACAGGGACCAATGATGCCCCCGAGTCACAACGGGAGACAAGCAAGGGTTACAGGGACCAATGATGCCCCCGAGTCACAACGGGAGACAAGCAAGGGTTACAGGGACCAATGATGCCCCCGAGTCACAACGGGAGACAAGCAAGGGTTACAGGGACCAATCATATCCCCGCGTCACAACGGGAGACAAGCAAGGGTTACAGGGACCAATGATGTCCCTGAGTGACAACGGGAGACAAGCAAGGGTTACAGGGACCAATGATGTCCCTGAGTCACAACGGGAGACAAGCAAGGGTTACAGGGACCAATGATGCCCCCGAGTGACAACGGGCGACAAGCAAGGGTTACAGGGACTAATGATGTCCTTGGGTGACAACGGGAGACAAGACAAGGGTTACAGGGACCAATGTTGTCCCCGAGTCACAATGGGAGACAAGCAAGGGTTACGGGGACCAATGATGACCCCGAGTGACAACGGGAGACAAGCAAGGGTTACGGGGAGCAATTATGTCCCCTAGTCACAACGGTAGACAAGCAAGGGTTACAGGGACCAATGATGCCCACGAGTGACAACGGGAGACAAGACAAGGGTTACAGGGACCAATGATCCCACCGAGTGACAACGGGAGACAAGCAAGGGTTACAGGGACCAATGATGCCCCCGAGTCACAACGGTAGACAAGCAAGGGTTACAGGGACCAATGATTTCCCCTAGTCACAACGGGAGAGAAGCAAGGGTTACAGGGGTCAATTATATCCCCTAGTCACAACGGGAGACAAGCAAGGGTTACAGGGGCCAATGATGTCCCTGAGTCACAACGGGAAACAAGCAAGGGTTACAGGGACCAATTATATCCCCTGAGTCACAACGGGAGACAAGCAAGGGTTACAGGGACCAATGATGCCCCCAAGTGACAACGGGAGACAAGCAAGGGTTACAGGGACCAATGATGTCCCTGAGTGACAACGGGAGACAAGCAAGGGTTACAGGGACCAATGATGTCCCCTAGTCACAACGGGAGACAAGCAAGGGTTACAGGGACCAATGATGCCCCCGAGTCACAACGGGAGACAAGCAAGGTTACAGGGACCAATGATGCCCCTGAGTCACAACGGGAGACAAGCAAGGGTTACAGGGACCAATGATGTCCCCGAGTGACAACGGGAGACAAGCAAGGATTACGGGGACCAATCATATCCCCGCGTCACAACGGGAGACAAGCAAGGGCTACAGGGACCAATGATGCCCCCGAGTGACAACGGGAGACAAGCAAGGGTTACAGGGGTCAATTATATCCCCTAGTCACAACGGGAGAAAAGCAAGGGTTACAGGGACCAATGATTTCCCCTAGTCACAACGGGAGACAAGCAAGGGTTACAGGGGTCAATTATATCCCCTAGTCACAACGGGAGACAAGCAAGGGTTACAGGGACCAATGATGCCCCCGAGTGACAACGGGAGACAAGCAAGGGTTACAGGGACCAATGATGTCCCTGAGTGACAACGGGAGACAAGCAAGGGTTACAGGGACCAATGATGTCCCCTAGTCACAACGGGAGACAAGCAAGGGTTACAGGGACCAATGATGCCCCCGAGTCACAACGGGAGACAAGCAAGGTTACAGGGACCAATGATGCCCCTGAGTCACAACGGGAGACAAGCAAGGGTTACAGGGACCAATGATGTCCCCGAGTGACAACGGGAGACAAGCAAGGATTACGGGGACCAATCATATCCCCGCGTCACAACGGGAGACAAGCAAGGGTTACAGGGACCAATGATGCCCCCGAGTGACAACGGGAGACAAGCAAGGGTTACAGGGACCAATGATGCCCCCGAGTCACAACGGGAGACAAGCAAGGGTTACAGGGACCAATGATGTCCCCTAGTCACAACGGGAGACAAGCAAGGGTTACAGGGACCAATGATGCCCCCGAGGCACAACGGGAGACAAGACAACGGTTACAGGGACCAATGATGCTCCCGAGTCACAACGGGAGACAAGCAAGGGTTACAGGGGCCAATGATGTCCCTGAGTGACAACGGGAGACAAGACAAGGGTTACAGGGACCAATGTTGTCCCCGAGTCACAACGGGAGACAAGCAAGGGTTACAGGGACCAATGTTGTCCCCGAGTCACAATGGGAGACAAGAAAGGGTTACGGAGACCAATGATGACCCCGAGTGACAACGGGAGACAAGCAAGGGTTACGGGGAGCAATTATGTCCCCGAGTCACAACGGTAGACAAGCAAGGGTTACAGGGACCAATGATGTCCCCGAGTCACAACGGGAGACAAGCAAGAGTTTCAGGGGTCAATTATATCCCCAACTCACAACGGGACACAAGCAAGGGTTACGGGGAGCAACAATATTTCAGGCACACAAGCGAGGGGTACCTTATCATTCTAATGAGGATAACCATGATATATAAAGTTCAACAAAGCAGCCTCAATATATAATCACCGTATATGTTATAATTAACGTTCTGTCATCTACAGTACATTCTGAAATCTTAAGAAGCTAACCATTTAGATGAAATCACACCTGATTATTTGCATTGACGAGGTTCAGGTAGACAAACACACGCCCTTCGTCCATGTAGATCTTCTTGCTTTGATCACTGCCGTCGTTGTCGTCAGTGAAGAACGGAGCCCCCACCAACAGGTCGTCGTGTCCATCACCGTTTACATCCGCCGTACACAGAGAGGCGCCGAAATAAGCCCCGGTCTGTAATCATTGTAACCATCTTGTGAGTGAGTGAGTGAGGGAGTGAGCAATATCACGCCGGGGGTGAGCGAACCCGGTCCTTTAGCGTCAACCTCTAGGCTACCTCACCGCCCCTCGTTATCTTCCAAGACCAGTAAGTTACTTGTTACCCATAACATTCCATTTGATAATAATAATAATAATAATAATAATAATAATAATAATAATATGTAATTGAACCACTGTTAGGATTGACCAAACGACACAAATTACGATGTTTTAAAGAAAAAACTTTTGATATGTAGTTTAAGTTTATTTCGGCCTACACAAGGCATTTTGTTGGCAAAGATAAAATGTAGTTAAACACTAGAGCTACTCGTGTTCCGTCACATGTTTGGTAGATTTGTTTGACTATTTCAATGTGTATATTAATCTTTAATTTTGTGACTTGACTTCTGAAAACACAATCGAGTCTGGACCAGACAATCGAGTGATTGACATCAGCAATATCGATCTGCGCAATTGGGATACGATGACATGCACCAACCAACCCCGTTAGTGGCCTCTTATAACAATTGTGATCTCTTGCGACAAGCATGGGTTGCTGAAGACCAATTTTAACCCGGATCTCCATGGGTGAGTAAAACATGTGCTGGTGTATTACAAGAAAACAATGGTGGAGTGCAAATGTACAGCCCTCAACAACTATGGGGTTGCGTACTGAAGATACCATTGCGAGATTAACGACAACTCACCTGTTTACCTTCTAGACTCTGAACCAGGGAAAGCTTGTTGATTGACGTGATGTAAATTATTATCTGAAGAAAATAAAAAAAATGCCACTACCATTTGGTTAGATTACGGTTATGGTTAGGTTAAGTGATAAGGGGTTAGGGTTATGGTTATGGTTAGGGGTTAGGGGTTAGGGGTTAGAGTTTAGGGTTAGGGTTAGGGTTAGGGTTAGGGTTAGGGTTTAGAGTTTAGGGTTAGGTTTAGAGTTTAAGGTTAGGATTAGGGTTAGGATTTGTTAGTAAGGTTAGGATAAGGGTTAGTGAGGGTTAGGTTAGGGTTAGGGTTAGGGTCTCTTTCACCTTATCAATGCCCATTAAAGGCATCAAATAATCATAATAACCTACTATCGAGTTATGTACATGTATGTTACACTCAATGCATGACAAACCAGGGTTAGGGTTAGGGTTGGGGTTGGGGTTCGTGTTTAGTGATTAGGTTTAGGGTTAGATTTTAGTTTTAGGGTTAGGGTTACCTGATGTGTCTCTTTAACCCCATCAATGTCCTTTAAAGTCATCAAATAATCATAATAGCTTACCATAAAGTGTAATTCCCTGACTGTGGGAGAAGTACCGTAAAAGAGTGGGGTTGCAATGAGACCTGGGTCAACCAACACCTTGCATGCAAGTCATGCAGGTAATATGGAATTTTGCTCTTACTTTGACCATCTCAGCACGAGGGGCACCTGCAGCAAAGCAAGGGTCTCCCTGTCCACACAACTTCCCCGCTGCCACCGAGTAGCCTGTTGATCAACCAGTCGTCAAGGTTACAAGACATGACAAGATATATAATCATTAGAGCATGGCATCGACGTTAAAAGGGTCTGAACTGTGGAATATTCAGGAATTATTCAGCATTTATGGATGTCAACTTCTTTATTATGAGGAACACAACGTTTCGGAGTACACGCTTACTCCTCCACCAGGTGAATGAATGCCTTACTTACTTACTTATATTGGAGATTTTACGTGCGAATGAATGCCGTGGGGCAGAGAGCATATATTTGTACATATAAGAACAACAAAAGTAATAAGATAACTAAAGGTGGAAACTAACAAGGGAAGCCAACAGATAATTGCTGCTGATAGGTGATTAGCAAAAACAATGGAAGCCAACACTTTACAGTAATAGCGCTGATGGTTATAAAAAAGGTTAAAACTGCAACACTGCAAATAAAAAACACACGAAAAGAACGATATACTCATGCACTTAACAATGCAGATTTCCGCAATTTGTTACATCCTATCGATAGTCAGCTTACCAAGGTAAGAGAAATCAGGCACTGTGAAGGGAATATCAAATCTCTGCACTGGTGTGAAGATGTCCTGCTTCAGCATAACTACTCCCCCTGAAGATAAAACAACAGTTGTCATGACAACTAAAGTACGAGTGAGCGAGTTAGTCATACATCACATTTGACACTCATCCGAATTGCGTATGACATAGGAATGCGTATTAGAAATTATTGGAGTGAATTTTCAGTCCACGTGAGGGTAGTTTCATCCGATAAAACGTCTTCTAATCTCATTAGGCAATATGCAGCGTTGTTTCACCACATATGTTATCTAGATTTATCCGATAATTAGACATGTTTGTTTTTGTTAATTCATAAACTACTGTGCTATTTAGTTTAGTTTCAGAAGATAGAATCTTTTCCGATTTGATCAGATGACATGCTGTCGAGTTTTAATCAGATAATATGATTTCCAAATTCATAAACTACTTTGCTATTTTGTTAAGTTTCACCAGAATACACTCTTAATAAAACACACGCACAGGTATATTTATAGTAAATGTATTGTACCTAATAAAGTCGATATATTTAATTTAATATCACAGATACAAATATGAAATTTTGGAGCTCGAAAGTCACGCGTTGTCTTTGTACCAAGGCATTGAAAACTGTTCATTCTCATGTCACATAAGGCCACAAGGTTGCGCTGAACTCAGTATCTCGTGTGACCGCCCCGGGCAGCAATCACGGCTCTGCATTTCCTCGGCACTGACTGTATAAGTGTAAGAATTCTCTCCTGTGGAATTCTGCGCCATTCTGCTTGTAACGCGTTGGTCAGTTGTGTGAGTGTTCTGACGTTGACGTACACGTCGATCGAGTTCATCTCAGAGGTGTTCGATTGGGTTGAGAGCTGGAGATCTCGACAGTCAGGGCAAAACGTTGATGTTGGCATTATGAGGGTAGTCTACCGTGATACGAGCTGTGTGCGGTGGATCGTTGTCCTGATGAAACAGCTCCCTCTGGCGGTCAATGATTGGAAGAAGGTGAGGTTGAGGAAATTGATTCATGTAGCGATTTGCTGTCAAATTTCCCTGAACCACAACCAAGTCAGATCTCCCGGTGTAGGATATGGCCCCCTACACCATGACACTACCGCCACCGATTTTGTCGAATTCACCTACACAATGTGGGCCAAAACGCTCATTTCGACGACGATAAAAAAGTTGTCTGTCATCTCGCCGGCGAAGAAGAAATCGTGATTCATCGCTAAACCACACTCGTCTCCAGTTTCTCAAATTCCAAGGATGTAAGGTATGTCACCGACGCAAGCGTCGCTGTCGATGGATCTGTTGCAAAACTGGTACGATAACTGGTCATCTTTGTCGGATTCTGGTCCACTATCATCCTCTAACCAGGGAAGCGTCCTGTAGTCTCTGTAGCTGTGGCATTGCGATGACGTAGGTGGAACAGTCGAATGTAGCGATCCTGTGAAGGGGTGGTAACTCTTGGTCGGTCGGTCCGAGGACGATCTGCAGTGGAATTGAACTGTGTATCGGTGCCAAAGGTGGCAAATGGTGCTGTTGTGGACGTTGAAGTGGCGTGCAACAGAAGACTGCGATTCCCCTTTTTGGATACGTCCTATGGCGATGTTTTCGAACTTGAAAATGTTGACAATTGAATGACAAATTATTGGCTTATGTTTGCCTTTTTATAGCCACTACCGCGAGTTACGAATGCTCTGTTAATCTGAATAATGTGCCGTTTAGTAACTGGAATCTACTTTTTATGAGATAATGTGTTAGGTAAGGGAGATCTGATGAAACGTAGAAACGCTCTGCACTATAATTCTGACGATACGTGCAACGAAGTCTGAAAACATACCACTCCATTCCTTGAAGCCAGGGATTCCTATTAGAACCGAGCCGTCCTGAAATGAAAACAGCGAGCTGCAACACCATCCGGAAGTAGGAAGTTATTCTTGTCCCGGAAATGCGCAGTAGACAAATAGAGAAACATTAATGTAAAATAAACCAGTTTTTGATCTGGAAGACAAGCAGACAAGGTCTATGATCATCTAATATTGGTTTCTTGCTCTGCTAAACTAGCTGTATATGTATTTTTCTCAGACATCATTTGTGAAAAAATTAAACCAGAAGAAACATCATCTGTGTAATGAATGTTATTGTGACAATGATGGTGATGATTATCATTATTATATGTAAATAATTATAATCCTTACCTCCATCATATCGCCTGACATTCCGCTCTCTCCCATCCCGTTCCAGAATATGTATTTAGAAGAGCCTGGTCTCTTCTGAAGATAGCCCTGTGCCTTTGACACTTTCAAAGGATACGAGTATTTAACATTCGCACTGTCGACCTTGACGCAACGTCCAATCAGGAATGCATAGTTCTCCGTCTCAAACGCTAAGTCATTGTACCGGGGGGCGCACATCTGCAGCGAGGGAGTAATGTAGGCTATGTCATGTAAACTAAAACTCGAAGATGCGGAGTATTGCACAAGGGCATTAATAAACAATAATAACTACAATACTAATGTATGCGTTTTGCAGACTCATAGGGATATATGTATCAACTGTATGCATTTTGCAGACTCATAGTGGCGGATGTATCGACTGTATGCGTTATGCATATTTACAGAGGTAGATGTATCGACTGTATGCGTTTTGCAGACTCATAGTGATAGATGTATCGACTGTATGCGTTATGCATATTCACAGAGGGCGATGTATCGACTGTATGCGTTTTGCAGTCTCATAGTGATAGATGTATCGACTGTATGCGTTATGCATATTCACAGAGGGTGATGTATCGACTGCATGCGATTTGCAGACTCAAAGTGGTAGATGTATCGACTGTGTGCGTTATGCACATTCACAGAGGTAGATGTATCGACTGTATGCGTTTTGCAGACTCATAATGGTAGATGTATTGACTGTATGCGTTTTGCAGACTCATAGTGGTAGATGTATCGACTGTATGCGTTTTGCATACTCATAGTGGTAGATTATCGACTGTATGCGTTTTGCAGACTCATCGTGGTAGATGTCTCGACTGTATGCGTTTTGCAGACTCATAGTGGTAGATTATCGTCTGTATGCGTTTTGAAGACTCGTAATTGTAGATGTCTCGACTGTATGCGTTTTGCAGACTCATAGTGGTAGATGTATCGACTGTATGCGTTTTGCAGACTCATAGTGGTAGATGTATCGACTGTATGCGTTTTGCAGACTCATAGTGGTAGATGTATCGACTGTATGCGTTTTGCAGACTCATAGTGGTAGATTATCGTCTGCATGCGTTTTGCAGACTCATAGTGGTAGATGTATCGACTGTATGCGTTTTGCAGACTCATAGTGGTAGATTATCGACTGTATGCGTTTTGCAGACTCATAGTGGTAGTTTAACGTCTGCATGCGTTTTGCAGACTCGTAATGGTAGATGTCTCGACTGTATGCGCTATGCAGACTCATAGTGGTAGATGTATCGACTGTGTGCGAAATGCATATTCACATAGGTAGGTGTCTCGACTGTATGCGGTTTGCAGACTCATAGAGATAGATTATCGACTGTATGCGTTTTGCAGACTCGTAATGGTAGATGTCTCGACTATGTGCGCTATGCATACGTACTGTGGTAGATGTTAACTATATGAGTTAAGCAGACCTATTGTGGCAGATGTATCGAATTTATTGGTTATGTAGACATACAGCGATAGAGTATGTGAGCTATGTAAGGTATGAATGTTATATGCCAGTGTGATATGCAGGTCTATGACGTTTATCACTGATGTCTTGTAAGGGATGGGATTCGAACCCAATCTCATAGAATTCTGGCATGCCAAGGGACGCAACTCGACACAGTGAATTGCGGCGTCTATGACGACAGGGCGTGATGCTAGTTACCGTGGTTGTGTCGTTGGACTGCAAGATGATTGATCCGTACATCTCATCGGCATTGTACCAGGTGCCCGATATTGACTCCAGATCACCTTGGAAACAAGTAAACAATAAATATGTTTAATACTTCACGGATTTGTAAATGCTACAGTCAATGTGTGAAATGTGATACACTTGGGTAATTTACTTAATGCCTAAATTGTTCAGTCATTTTACAAAATCTGTCGATTTATTTGACAGATTAGCGAACAAAATTAAGAAGTTCAAAAACAACACTATAGACTAATCATGCTTGGATTAGAAGCCTAAAAATAACCAAACTACACACTGACTTTCATTTTCTTTTAATCCTATAATTTTCTTCCAGTGCGTGATGGGCGGTCGGGTAGCCTAGTTGGTCAAGCGTTCGCTCGTCACGCCGAAGACCCGGGTTCGATTCCCGACATGGGTACGATGTATGAAGCCCATTTCTGGTGTCCCCCGCCGTGATATTGCTGGAATATTGCTAAAAGCGGCGTAAACCCCTACTTACTCACTCACTCACTCCAGTGGGTGATGAAACTCAGCATCAAATATTTGGAATTCGTCATCATAATAAAATAGAGGGCAGGTTTGTGTCAATTTTTTAAATATTTAGGCGTTTTGTAAATTGCCTAAGTGACATATACACTGCGCTCTTACATCCCCCACTATGCCAATACATGCGGCCATTGTGCAGTGTTAATGTGACGTGCGTCTTTGTTTAGTAATGAACTGGATTCAATGAAATACATTATGTTTTTGCTACGTTGATATTAATTACTGAAATGATCGGCACCCGCCTGAGGTCTTTCGCAGGCCTAAGGTTTCGTGGTCCTCATGTCAGGAACAAGCAACACTCACGATCATCCTGATCGATCTCATACGTCTGGACGCAGTTGAGAGGATCTGTGATGTCACATTCATGCGTCGCCCCAGTCGAGTTTCTTCGTGTGGAGTTGTCCTTGGGGGCGCCCACAGTAAGTCTAGATAAGCAACAAGAATGAAAGGCAAAATGGTATTATAATTGGTGAGTAGAACTGGATAGTCCATAAGGAGCGCGTCATACCAATATACGTTAAAGGATGGTACTTGTTGTTACCCTGCCTGGAACTCGGCATTAAGGGGATAAGAGAAGGACTGGTCGGCTCGGAGTCAGTATACCGTGTCTGAGCGGAGTGTCCCTGTTAAACTGCGGCATGGTATCTCAGCGAGCTCGTGGTATAAGTCCCGACTACACCGCCGAGTAAAAAACAGTTTACATTGTTAGAGTGAGTGAGTGAGTTGGGTTTAACGCCGCTTTTAACAGTATTCCAGTCATATCACGGCGTGTCAGCTTAATGTGGGAGGAAACAAACCTAGAAACATAATCGGGGCGAACCGGGATTCGAACCCACAATCATAGGTTTCTGGCGTGCCTAAGGGACGCAACTCTGCACAGCGAATCGCGGCGCCTTAGACGACTGGGCCACCCGTGCCCCCTTACATTGTTAGACTGTGAATAGGTTTTAATACATTGGCTAAATGAAACTGAATTCAGGTTGAACACGATTCTCCAAACACACACAATGTCCTCTTCCGTACATTTTGAGAAAAATAGTTTCTGGAATTTTGTATGAAGCAGGTGTTTTAATATTAGCAGGAGGTGAACACCACAGCTCGTATTGTAAGCGCGGGAGAAAAATGCCAAGGCTGTGGGCAGACTTTTTTGAGAGGCTGGGTGGGTGGATGGGGTGGGGTTTTGTCTTTGAATTGCCCTGTCGGGGGCTACGCAGGTCGATATTGGAAATCGAACCCGGGTCTTCGGCGTGACGAGCAAACACTTTAACCACTCATAATATAGAAGTTGACATCCATATATTCTCTTCGTTATATTGTTATACCCATGCAACGGTATCTGCTATTGTGTGCTAAATTAGCATGTTGTCCAAGTACGGTTGCCATTCCGAAAGTGACAGCGCCCTCATCGGATTTAAGCTATCGCAGTGAAGGGAGAGGTGTTTCCGAATTCCATTGTGATGATGGAGATGACGTAAGAACTATGTGCCCAGCAGGCGTCGTGTGGAGATAAGAGCCAGATAGGAAGTCCAAGTATAACCGCAGTAGGAATAGACGCCATGTTTGTTGTAATGGCAACAACCAGTTGGATATAATACCCAGAAGCCAACATCCAACTATATGACACAACACGGGGCTACATCCAACTGTATGACACAACACGGGACTACATCCAACTGTATGACACAACACGGGACTACATTCACCTGTATGACACAACACGGGACTACATTCACCTGTATGACACAACACGGGACTACATTCACCTGTATGACACAACACGGGACTACATCCAACTGTATGACACAACACGGGACTACATCCAAATGCATGACACAACACGGGACTACATCCAACTGTATGACACAACACGGGACTACATCCAACTGTATGACACAACACGGGACTACATCCAACTGTATGACACAACACGGGACTACATCCAACTGTATGACACAACACGGAACTACATCCAACTGTATGACACAACACGGGGCTACATCCAACTGTATGACACAACACGGGGCTACATCCAACTGTATGACACAACACGGGACTACATCCAGCTGTATGACACAACACGGGACTACATCCAACTGTATGACACAACACGGGACTACATCCAAATGCATGACACAACACGGGGCTACATCCAACTGTATGACACAACACGGGACTACATCCAAATGCATGACACAACACGGGACTACATCCAACTGTATGACACAACACGGGACTACATTCACCTGTATGACACAACACGGGACTACATTCACCTGTATGACACAACACGGGGCTACATCCAACTGTATGACACAACACGGAACTACATCCAACTGTATGACACAACACGGGACTACATTCAACTGTATGACACAACACGGGGCTACATCCAACTGTATGACACAACACGGAACTACATCCAACTGTATGACACAACACAGGACAACATCCAACTGTATGACACAACACGGGACTACATCCAACTGTATGACACAACACGGGACTACATTCACCTGTATGACACAACACGGGACTACATTCACCTGTATGACACAACACGGGGCTACATCCAACTGTATGACACAACACGGAACTACATCCAACTGTATGACACAACACGGGACTACATCCATATGCATGACACAACACGGGACTACATCAATCTGTATGACACAATACGGGGCTACATCCAACTGTATGACACAACACGGGACTACATCCAACTGTATGACACAACACGGGACTACATTCACCTGTATGACACAACACGGGGCTACATCCAACTGTATGACACAACACGGAACTACATCCAACTGTATGACACAACACGGGACTACATCCAACTGTATGACACAACACGGGGCTACATCCAACTGTATGACACAACACGGGGCTACATCCAACTGTATGACACAACACGGAACTACATCCAACTGTATGACACAACACGGGACTACATTCAACTGTATGACACAACACGGGGCTACATCCAACTGTATGACACAACACGGAACTACATCCAACTGTATGACACAACACAGGACAACATCCAACTGTATGACACAACACGGGACTACATCCAACTGTATGACACAACACGGGACTACATTCACCTGTATGACACAACACGGGACTACATTCACCTGTATGACACAACACGGGGCTACATCCAACTGTATGACACAACACGGAACTACATCCAACTGTATGACACAACACGGGACTACATCCATATGCATGACACAACACGGGACTACATCAATCTGTATGACACAATACGGGGCTACATCCAACTGTATGACACAACACGGGACTACATCCAACTGTATGACACAACACGGGACTACATTCACCTGTATGACACAAAACGGGGCTACATCCAACTGTATGACACAACACGGAACTACATCCAACTGTATGACACAACACGGGACTACATCCAACTGTATGACACAACACGGGGCTACATCCAACTGTATGACACAACACGGAACTACATCCAACTGTATGACACAACACGGGACTACATCTAACTGTATGACACAGCACTTGACAACATCCAAATGTATGACACTACGCGGGACAGCTTTCAACTGTATGACACAACACGGGAAAACATTTAACTCTATGTCACAACACGGGACTACGTCCAACTGTATGACACAACACGGGACTACACCCAACTGTATGACACAACACGGGACAACATCCAACTGTATGACACAACACGGGACTACATCCAACTGTATGACACAACACGGGGATACATCCAACTGTATGACTCAACACGGGACTACATCGAACTGTATGACACAAAACGGGACAACATCCAACTGTATGACACAACACGGGACAACATCAAACTGTATGACACAACACGGGACTACATCCAACTGTATGACACAACACGGGACTACATCCAACTGTATGACACAACACGGGACTACATCCAGCTGTATGACACAACACGGGGTACATCCAACTGTATCACACAACACAGGACAACACCCAACTGTATAACACAACAGGGGGCCACATCCAACTGTATGACTCAACACGGGACTACATTCACCTGTATGCCACAACACGGGGATACATCCAACTGTATGACTCAACACGGGACTACATCGAACTGTATGACACAAAACGGGACTACATCCAACTGTATGACACAACACGGGACAACATCCAACTGTATGACACAACACGGGACTACATCCAACTGTATGACACAACACGGGACTACATCCAACTGTATGACACAACACGGGACTACATCCAAATGCATGACACAACACGGGACTACATCCAACTGTATGACACAACACGGGACTACATCTAACTGTATGACACAGCACGGGGTACATCCAACTGTATGACACAACACGGGACTACATCCAACTGTATGACACAACACGGGACTACATCCAGCTGTATGACACAACACGGGGTACATCCAACTGTATGACACAACACAGGACAACACCCAACTGTATGACACAACAGGGGGCCACATCCAACTGTATGTCTCAACACGGGACTACATTCACCTGTATGACACAACACGGGGATACATCCAACTGTATGACTCAACACGGGACTACATCGAACTGTATGACACAAAACGGGACTACATCCAACTGTATGACACAACACGGGACAACATCCAACTGTATGACACAACACGGGGCTACATCCAACTGTATGACACAACACGGGACTACATCCAACTGTATGACACAACACGGGACTACATCCAAATGCATGACACAACACGGGACTACATCCAACTGTATGACACAACACGGGACTACATCTAACTGTATGACACAGCACTTGACAACATCCAAATGTATGACACTACGCGGGACAGCTTTCAACTGTATGACACAACACGGGACAGCATTTAACTCTATGTCACAACACGGGACTACGTCCAACTGTATGACACAAAACGGGACTACATCCAACTGTATGACACAACACGGGACAACATCCAACTGTATGACACAACACGGGACTACATCCAACTGTATGACACAACACGGGGTTACATCGAACTGTATGACACAACACAGGACAACATCCAACTGTATGCCACAACACGGGACTACATCCAGCTGTATGACACAACACGGGGTACATCCAACTGTATGACACAACACAGGACAACACCCAACTGTATGACACAACACGGGGCTACATCCAACTGTATGACTCAACACGGGACTACATGCAACTGTATGACACAACACGGGACTACATCCAACTGTATGACACAACACGAGACTACATCCAAATGCATGACACAACACGGGACTACATCCAACTGTATGACACAACACGAGACTACATCCAAATGCATGACACAACACGGGGCTACATCGAACTGTATGACACAACACAGGACAACATCCAACTGTATGCCACAACACGGGACTACATTCACCTGTATGACACAACACGGGAATACATCCAACTGTATGACACAACACGAGATTACATTCCAACTGTATAACACAACACGGGACTAAATCCAACTGTATGACTCAACACGGGACAACATCCAACTGTATGACACAACACGGGACTACATTCAACTGTATGACACAACACGGGACTACATCCAACTGTATGACACAACACGGGACTACATCCAACTGTATGACCCAACACGGGACTACATCCAACTGTATGACACAACACGGGACTACATCCAACTGTATGACACAACACGGGACTACATCCAACTGTATGACACAACACGGGACTACATCCAACTGTATGACACAACGCGGGGCTACATCCAGCAGAAAGGAATACATTTCGATCTGTAGTTAATCACATCCCACCAATCTGGTACATGGATCACCTTATCGAGTTTGTGTTTGCTACAACTATATTGGCTTCATTCTCATAATAAAGAACAGCTTCCATCGCGTCAAAAATGGTCGCTCCGAAGCTGGTAGTAAGCATTAAGAGTGAGCGAGTGAGTAGGGTTTTACGCCGCTTTTAGCAATATTCCAGCAATATCACGGCTGGGGACAACAGAAATGGGCTTCACACATTGTACCCATGTCGGCGTGACGAGCGAACGCTTAACCACTAGGCTACCTGACCGCCCCTAAGCATTAAGACACATTATGAAAAACATCACTCCACCGACCGGTTCCACAAAGCGATCTTAGTCCTAAGACTCGCGTTACCTGTTAGCATAAACTGGAAACAGTTGTTTCATCAGCATAGATTTGGAAAGCGAGGCCCTAACTGTGATGGTTTCGTTTACAGTGACTCCCCTGTTGGGAGACGTGACTACAAGTTCCCCCACTTACTTATATCCTGACTGCGTCCTCTTGAAGGCACTGGCGTATCCGAACATGCTTTTACTGGGTCCATGGAGAACACGTGCGTGGACAACGTCAATGTTGTAACTGAAACACACATCTACCATAAACACACAGAAAATTACTGGAAGCGCAGCCAGTCCAACTGTCACCATGTTGGACGCCGTGTAAGTATGTGTTGCTGGAGTGTCGTCAGTTTCAGCGTCGAGGATGCGACCGGAAGGGGTAGTAAGCTGCTCCGGACATACTTGCCCTGACTGAACCCGTGACGTCAGAGACCCTTGTGGAACAGAGGCCACATGTCTCACACTTTGACTGAAGTAAAGTGAGGGGTGTTCCGAAACTCATTCAGTAATATTTACAATCTTATGCCAGTCCGGGGGCACGGGTGGCCCAGTCGTCTAAGGCGCCGCGATTCGCTGTGCAGAGTTGCGTCCCTTGGGCACGCCAGAAACCTATGATTGTGGGTTCGAATCCCGGTTGGCCCCGATTATGTTTCTAGGTTTGTCAGCACCATACCCGTGCTCGTGGGTTTCACCGAAATGGTAAACGTCTGAGACCTGCATCACTTCGGGCTTTCCTCCAACATTAATCTGACACGTCGCCATATAACTGGAATACTGATAAAAGCGGCGTTAAACCCAACTCACTCACATAATGCCAGTCCTGTAATCAAGGTGTGGCTGTCATGACAGTTTCGACTTTGGTCATTATAATATATACAAGAATTGATTGATATATTAGTGTTAATTGGGGTGGGCATGTGGGGCACGAGACGCCGACTGTATCGAGTTGTACAGAGTCGCATTGTATTGAGTTGTACAGAGTCGCATTGTATTGAGTTGTACAGAGTCGCATTGTATCGAGTTGTACAGAGTCGCATTGTATTGAGTTGCCAGACACATGTGGTCGTAGGTTCGAATCCCGGTTAGCCATGGTTATATTTCCAGGTTTGTCAGCACCATCTTCTTGTTGGTTGGTTGCACCAAAGCGGTAGACGTGTAACATCTGCATTACTTCAGGCACCTAGCTGACACGCCGTGATGTAACTGCAATACTGTTCAAGGCCGGTAAAATAAAAATAACAAACGCACTATGCCGTAATATCCTTTAAGAAAGACGTTGCTGCATTTTTGTAAATTATTGGTGTTATTTTCCTTTCGGTTTTCAAAGTAGAATTCCAGTTCCAGTAGAATTAAGAGATAAACATATTGTGTTTTCAATGTAGAACTAGCTTACCTAACCCTTCAGGTAACCTAGCTCTACATTGAAAACACAGCATGTTTATCGCAATTCTACCGTGACTAAATAAAACGCGGATTCTTTGGTGATGGGAAATATATTGAGTGAAGCGGCATGGGATGACTCAAGTGTTTTCGATCTGAATTGCGGATTCACCGACAACATCCTGAAAACAAAATATGGCGCTGTATATGCTCAGGCAGTTTGTGTACACCGTAATGCTTCACTCCAATATATGACAGGCATTGACAGCATATAAGCACGGCAACTTAGAAAGCTAACATGAGGTGGGCTGCGCGTTCGGTTCCAAATTCAATTCAGCGCGGCTAAATCTACAGGTAACCTAGATCTACATTGAAAACGCAGTATATTTATCTCATAAATATCACATCACTTCACTGGGCACACATTGCAAAGGAAGCCGAGGTTCTCAGTGTCCGGACGAGGTTACACCTCACTCTTTTATATCCGCCTGCGATGACGTCACCGGAAGTTGCTCTTTCCGTATCGCCTAAGGTTAATATCAAGATACCTCTGATGACGTCACTTCAAGTTGATATGGTTAATATCTCGTTATCATCTCAACAGACCATATCATCCCACGGTGTGTATTTGAAAGTACCGCTACATTGTTTAGTATAAGTGAGTTATCATCAATGTCATATGAGCAGTGTATCACCTTACGAAGAAATCTGCATAAACCGCGCATCAGTGCTTTCGATATTTGGTTAGCCTCCAGATCCTGAAGACACGTGCACGCCAAAAGACTTTTAAAAGAGCGTCACATGACTCTTGCCTTAGGTAGAGTACATATGTTCGACTTGAGGCCTCCAGCGTCTATTACCTATACCTCCTCTCTTTTATCTATATCTACCACCATGTCTTGTTGTTAATAGTAATATACATCTTCGATAGTCCAGGCTTATATCTCCACTCTCTAATGATAGACACGCCTGTTCGCAATGGCTTTGTTTGAACCCGATTAAAATTACAGGATCATAAAATATGCCCTCCAGTTAAATTACACCCATGTGCGAGAGACCCATGTCCTAGGTTAGTGACAGGAGAGATGTAAATGGTCACTTACCAAACGAAGCGTAGGTGGCGAATGGGTCCAGGGTATTTATCCTGATAGAAGGGAGATATTATACACTGGATGACCGAGGATGACCAATATACTGCAAATTCGATTTGACCTACTGTTGTTATTTTCATTGATGACATACCTTTCAGAGGTGAGTGAGTGAGCTGGGTTTTAACGCCGCTTATAACAGTATACCAGTTATATCACTGCGTGTTAGCTTAATGTGAAATTGTGCAGGTCTCAGACGTTTACCACTTCTAGAAACATAATCGGGGCGAACCGGGATTACGACCAACAATCATAGGTTAAACATGTTAACACGTGGCAGCAAAAGTTTAGGAGAGTTACTAAACGAAATAAGACGACTAATGGAGTTTTGGTTTTACTAAGTTTATTCACACTTTCGTGTGACTTACAAAGGAACATTCATCAAATGTTAAAAATGATAAAATAATAATAAAAAGTTGACAAGATGAACATTTATACAACATGTTAAAAACAAAGTATGACTGAGACCAAGCTATAAATACTGAAACAGTTGATAATGCTAACATTAAAGAGCATGTGGCATATAATGAACGGAGGCGATTACTCTAAAGTCATCAATGATGTCTTCTAATAAGTTATATTAAAATATATCACATTGGTCTTTGAATAATCTTACAGTCATTTGGCGTCAGCAAGTAGAACCAACACAGCAGCCTGTATTCAACATTGCTGTATTTAACGACCTATAGTCAACAATGTAAAAGCCGTATCATAATGGCCGGTCGATCTGTGTCAGTCTGCATGCTAAAACCATCAGCTACTAGGCATCGGAGACCAGTCCTCCAACACCGTAGACTATGGATATCCGGCATTAGGCAGAAGGCATTAGGCACCAGGAATCAACACTAGGCACCAGGCATCAACACCAGACACCAGGCATCAACATAAGGCACTAGGCATCAGGCATCAACACTAGGCACCAGGCATCAACACCAGACACCAGGCAGCAACACTAGGCACCAGGCATCAACACTATACACTAGGCATTAACACTAGGCACCAGGCATCAACACCAGGCATCAGGTACGAGGCTTCATGTTTCAGGACAACACAATAGCTCGACACTACGTACGTGTCACCAAGGCACAGACTGACAATTGAGAGCACATCAAGAGTGGAATGAGTTACATTATTTTGTACATAGAACCAACTTACTTTACTGGAAGGTAACATAGCCTGTTGATAATACGTTGAGCTGCGACCTGACAATTGACCCCGTATGACTATGTTTGATGGTCCCCCCCCCCCCCCCCCCCCCCCCCCCCCCCAACCCCCACCTCCTAGCGCGTACGATTGTAAAGAAAGGGGTAGCGGGTGGTCCACGACAAGTAGTACGATGGATATGTGCGTTTCCTGTCTTGGCACACAAACGAGTTCTAGTGGCAAGGTCAATAGCACATAATAGTACGTGCCGATGTGAGGCACCCCATGACTGGAAACAGTGACAGCAAATTTGAGTGAGTGAGTATGGTTTTACGCCGCTTTTAGCAATATCACGGCGGTTGCAAATTTGAATAGACAACAACAATTGAAAAGTATCGTGACAATGAAGGGAACACATTTGCTGTAAAAATGGAATACTTTTCTTGTAATTTATGACATTATCGGCCAATTCTCGAGTCTGATAACGTATGATTTGGCCATGCTTACCTAGCTTTGACATGTTTATTTGTTTGTAATGCACTTCTATCAAACGACTTTCAGAGAATTCTGGCATAGTCTTAACACGAGCACCACGTGTGTCGACGGGAGCGTAGTCATAGTCATCGTCATGACCTGCACGTGCACATCATGCGTACACCCGCTCAACCAACAAACCAAAATATGTTTGCCGAAATTCTGTGCATCTCCTTGTCTGTAACGCGTGTTGTGAGTTGGTTCAACTTATTCTTGATTACCAGTAGCAATCATAAGAATAAACAGATACTTCACATCCACCCCCAACACCCATGAACACCACCACAACACCAACAACACCCACAACACCCACCACACCAACAACACCCACCACACCACCACACCACCACACCACCAACAACACCCACTCACACCACCACCCAACCAACAACACCCACCCACAACACCCACTCACACCACCACCCCACCCACAACACCCACTCACACCACCACCCCACCCACAACACCAACCTACACCACCACCCCACCAACAACAACCACTCACACCACCACCCCACCAACAACACCAACCCCAACACCACCCCACCAACAACACCCACTCACACCACAACCCCACCCACAACACCCACCCACCCCACCACCCCAACCACAACACCCACCCACACCACCACCCCACCCACAACACCAACCTACACCACCACCCCACCAACAACAACCACTCACACCACCACCCCACCAACAACACCAACCCCAACACCACCCCACCCACAACAACCACTCACACCACCACCCCACCAACAACACCAACCCCAACATCATCCCACCCACAACACCCACTCACACAACCACCCGCACCAAAACACCCACTCACACCACCACTCCACCCACAACACCCACTCACACCACCACCCCACCCACAACACCCACTCACCACACCACCCCACCAACAACACCCACTCACACCACCACCCCACCCACAACACCCACTCACACCACCACCCCACCCACAACACCCACTCACACCACCACACCACCCACAACAACAACCTACACCACCACCCCACCCACTCAAACCACCACCCCACCCACAACAACCACTCACACCACCACCCCACCAACAACACCCACTCAAACCACCACCCCACCAACAACCCCCACCACCCCACCAACAACACCCACTCACACCACCACCCCACCAACAACACATTACCACCCCACCACCCCACCAACAAACACCCAACACCCCACCAACAACACGCACTCACACCACCAACCCACCCACAACACACACACACCATCACCCTATCAACAACACACCCCCCTCAACACACACACACACACACACACACACACACACACACGTTCCCCGCTCTATTCTTCTATGGTTGACTCTCTTGGAGCTTTGCTGTTTCGCGGAGCACGTGACTGGTTTCTCCCGTAGTAACCGCTCTCTCGCTTCCATTTCTGGACTTGGCCTTTCTTCTCCCGCTTGAAAAATCCGCACTGTAAATGACAAAGCCCATCTGCATTAAATACATAGCGAAGACAATGTGATCAGGCATGGACTCTGTACATCCTAAAGGAACTGACCCACAAGTAATCAACAAAATCTGACACTTTATTTTTCACGGTGACATAGACCTACGAGGGGTGTTCATCAAAGATTTCCCATAAACCACTTAGGGTTATCATATTTGGTTGAAATTTCTCACGTGTAATGATACATGTATCTATGGGTTATGTCTTAATTTGCAGCACCGAACTATTAATCTTACCACTTTTACAGGTGTTATGATCGAGTAGTGTGTGACAATGGAGCCAGTAGAATACCGAGCAGTGATTAGGTTTTTATATTTGAAAAGTCGCACACCAAAAGAAACTGTCGATGTAATGAAAGCAACTTATGGGGAAGATGCCCGATCATATGACGTTGTTAAACACTGGCATCGCCAGTTCAAGTGTGGTCGGACATATGTGGAAACAGCTGCCATTCCTGGTCGCCCCCATTCAGCCATTGATGAGGACACTATCCATCAAGTGGAGACCGCCATTTTGGCAGACCGACGTATAACTGTTCGCCAGTTAGCACAAGATGTCAAGATAAGTGTATGGTCTGTGGAAAAAAATCATCCATGACAATTTGAACATGCATAAGGTGTCTGCACGATGGATTCCCAGGTTGCTCACACCTTTCCAAAAGCAGGAACGAGTCAATTGCTCAAAGGATCTTTTGGACATGTGCCAAAAAAACCCAGGCAAACTTTTCTGACAGACATATTACACAGGATGAAACATGGGTCCATCACTATGATCCTGAGACTAAAGTACAGTCGATGCAATGGAAGCATGTGGAGTCACCACCCCCAAAGAAGGTACGTGTCCAACCCTCAGCAGGCAAGGTCATGCTCACGGTGTTTTGGGACCAGCACGGAGTAGTGATGATGGATTTCTTGGCAAAGGGTACCACAATTACAGGAGCTTATTATGCTTCACTGCTGCGGAAATTGCGGGACGCTATCAAGCTTAAGAGGCGTGGCATGCTGACCAAGGGTGTCCGTCTCCTGCAAGACAATGCTCCAGTACACAACTCTCATGTTGCCCAGACAGAAGCGTGGTCCTGTGGCTATGAAATCCTTCCACATCCTCCTTAGTCTCCTGACCTTGCACCATCTGACTTCCACCTCTTTCCAACCATGAAGTCATTTTTGAAGGGAAAACGTTTCACAGATGATGAAACACTGATTTCTGAAGTCAAGTCCTGGTTTGAGACGCAAAATGAGGGCTTTTACAAGCGAGGTCTTCATAGTTGCATAACACGATGGGAGAAGTGTGCAACTCTTGGTGGTTCCTATGTGGAGAAAGACTAATACCTATGCAAGTTTCATTCCACTAGGTCCATCGGAAGTGGGTCAGGGGAAATCTCTAATGAACACCCCTCGTACATCACAATAGGGCCTTGGTCATCCCATCAGCCTGTTGAAGCGAAGCCCCATTAATCTCAGCAACAGCTTCATTGACAGAACGACGTTAACGAATTGCCCCTTTTATATCAGAAACAGAAAATTAAGGCCTACACAACAAAGTTAAACCTAATTTAACCAAAACACACCAAGAGTAACTTACACCGCATTAACAAAGTGCAAGACAAAAATACTCGGCCCAAAACACAGGGCCATAAAAGTCTGGCCACCAGCTCCTAAAATATCCTTTCCAAGCACCACCAAGTAACGCCTAGTTGTAGCGGTAGACTTTCATCGGATCACGCATTTACATAGTTCTAGCTACTGACTACATGGCATAAAACCTCAAGACGTCTTTTGTTTTGAAAAGGGGATTTATTGGCTCATTGCCGTACAACTATTCCTGTGAAAACACCATGGAGCTGTAGCCGCACACTGTCAATACACGCCATTGAAGAGACACTAAACTGCCGGGCACAATAAAGTGTACACTTGAAAACTGGACTTGACCAAAAACTTTCAAAGGTTACTTGGTTGAAAACAGTCACCGAAACACTACAAACTTAAGGTTTAAAACATAAGCACCCCCAGCACTACAAAATATATCGCCTAACACCTTTTTGGGGTTACCCGTGGAAATGCATGTGCAGAAATGCAATGGATGGATGCCAGGGGGGTGATTGACACCAGGCTGCATTCAGGCAGTGCATCCATTTGGTGGAGTTAGGGTGGTGGCTAGGGGAGGAACTTGTGGTAACCTTAACAGCCAGATCTAATGTTTCATCTTTAGCCACCATCAAACATGAGGGTAGACGTTCCTTGGCCCGGAGGTTTATGTTTTTACTTCATTCGAGTCGAATTAAATCTCAAACCAGGATAATTAGTACAGGAGTGGTGGACCTTTTATCGTGGCACGAACTATTTCACACCCATGACAGGACATCGGGTTAATTGACCATATCTCTCTTGTGACAAGACACCTTACAGACCACTGAAACATGGTATATTACACCTTATAGGGCACTCAAACATGGTATAATATAGCTTTCAGATCACTCAAACATGGTATACTACACTTACAGACCACCCTAACATTGCGTACTGCACCTTACAGACCGCCCAAACATGGTATACTACACCTTACAGACCACTCAAACATGGTATACTACCCCTTACATACCACCCAAACATGGTATACTACACCTTACAGGCCATCCAAACATGGTATACTACACCTTACAGACGACCCAAACACAGCATACTACACCTTACAGACCATCCAAACATGGTATACTACACCTTACAGACCACCCAAACATTGCATACCACACCTTACAGACCACCCAAACATGATATAATACACCTTACAGACCACCCAAACATGGTATACTACACCTTACAGACCACCAAAACATAGTATACTACTGCTTACTGACCACCCAAACATGGCATACTACACCTTACAGGCCACCCAAACATGATATACTACACCTAACAGACCACCCAAACATTGCATACTACACCTTACAGACCACCCAAACATGATATAATACACCTTACAGACCATCCAAACATGGTATACTACACCTTACAGACCATCCAAACATGATATAATACACCTTACAGACCATCCAAACATGATATAATACACCTTACAGACCATCCAAACATGATATAATACACCTTACAGACCACCCAAACATGGTATACAACACCTTACATACCACCAAAACATGGTATACTACACCTTACAGACCACCTAAACATGGTATACTACACCTTACAGACCACCCAAACATGGTATACTACACCTTACAGGCCACCCAAACATAGTACACTACTGCTTACAGACCACCCAAACGTTGCATACTACACCTTACAGACCACCCAAACATGATATACTACACCTTACAGACCACCCAAACATGATATACTACACCTTACAGACCACCCAAACATTGCATACTACACCTTACAGACCACCCAAACATTGCATACTACACCTTACAGACCACCCAAACATTGCATACTACACCTTACAGATCTCTCAAACACAGCATACTACACCTTACAGACCACCCAGACATTGCATACTACACCTTACAGATCACACAAACATTGCATACTACACCTCATAGACCACTCAAACACAGCATACTACACCTCACAGACCACTCAAACACAGCACACTACACCTCACAGACCACCCAAACATTGCATACTACACCACACAGACCACTCATACACAGCATACTACGCCTCACAGACCACCCAGACATTGCATACTACACCTTACAGATCACACAAACATTGCATACTACACCTTACAGACCACTCAAACACAGCATACTACACCTCACAGATCACTCAAACACAGCATACTACACCTCACAGACCACTCAAACACAGCATACTACACCTTACAGACCACTCAAACACAGCATACTACACCTCAGAGACCACTCAAACACAGCATACTACACCTCACAGACCAATCAAACACAGCATACTACACCTCACAGACCACTCAAACACAGCATACTACACCTCAGAGACCACTCATACACAGCACACTACACCTCACAGACCACTCAAACACAACATACTACACCTCACAGACCACTCAACACAGCATACTACAGTTTATGTACGGACAACCAAAACATGGTGCACTTTATCTCGCAGACAGTATTTTACATTGTTCTTAAAAAGATCATGTTTAAATGAGAAAAGCACAATACTTTACCTCCATTACATCTTTGTTTTTTATGGAATAACCCTTATAATGCGTGTCACAGATTTGGTGCAATTTACCTTCCAGAGAACGATGAAAATGATGAAGAGGATGATGATAGCGGCAAGGACGCTGCCAATGATGACCCAGATGTTGACTTTGCCGGGTGGATTATCGGGGTAGATGGGCGTCATTATCTGTAAATGAAAGGAGTATTGTGTTTGATGTGATAAATCATGTGGTCACTTGCAGTAATGGCCAGGATATCACCCGTCTTACCTTCGTCTCCACAGCTTGTCCCCAGGGGTAGAGTAGGGGGTGTCCAGGCCAGGATATCACCCGTCTTACCTTCGTCTCCACAGCTTGTCTCCAGGGGTAGAGTAGGGGGTGACCAGGCCAGGGTATCACCCGTCTTACCTTCGTCTCCACAGCTTGTCCCCAGGGGTAGAGTAGGGGGTGACCAGGCCAGGATATCACCCGTCTTACCTTCGTCTCCACAGCTTGTCCCCAGGGGTAGAGTAGGGGGTGACCAGGCCAGGATATCACCCGTCTTACCTTCGTCTCCACAGCTTGTCCCCAGGGGTAGAGTAGGGGGTGACCAGGCCAGGATATCACCCGTCTTACCTTCGTCTCCACAGCATGTCCCCAGGGGTAGAGTAGGGGGTGACCAGGCCAGGATATCACCCGTCTTACCTTCGTCTCCACAGCTTGTCCCAAGGGGTAGAGTAGGTGGTGACCAGGCCAGGATATCACCCGTCTTACCTTCGTCTCCACAGCTTGCCCCCAGGGGTAGAGTAGGGGGTGACCAGGCCAGGATATCACCCGTCTTACCTTCGTCTCCACAGCTTGTCTCCAGGGGTAGAGTAAGGGGTGACCAGGCCAGGATATCACCCGTCTTACCTTCGTCTCCACAGCCGGTACCCAGGGGTAGAGTAGGGGGTGTCCAGGCCAGGATATCACCCGTCTTACCTTCGTCTCCACAGCTTGTCCCCAGGGGTAGAGAAGGGGGTGACCAGGCCAGGATATCACCCGTCTTACCTTCGTCTCCACAGCTTGTCCCCAGGGGTAGAGTAGGGGGTGACCAGGATATCACCCATCTTACCTTCGTCTCCACAGCTTGTCCCAAGGGGTAGAGTAGGGAGTGACCAGGCCGGGATATCACCCGTCTTACCTTCGTCTCCACAGCATGTCCCCAGGGGTAGAGTAGGGGGTGACCAGGCCAGGATATCACCCGTCTTACCTTCGTCTCCACAGCATGTCCCCAGGGGTAGAGTAGGGGGTGACCAGGCCAGGATATCACCCGTCTTACCTTCGTCTCCACAGCTTGTCCCGAAGGGGTAGAGTAGGTGGTGACCAGGCCAGGATATCACCCGTCTTACCTTCGTCTCCACAGCATGTCCCCAGGGGTAGAGTAGGGGGTGACCAGGCCAAGATATCAACCGTCTTACCTTCGTCTCCACAGCTTGTCCCAAGGGGTAGAGTAGGGAGTGACCAGGCCGGGATATCACCCGTCTTACCTTCGTCTCCACAGCTTGTCTCCAGGGGTAGAGTAGGGGGTGACCAGGCCGGGATATCACCCGTCTTACCTTCGTCTCCACAGCTTGTCCCCAGGGGTAGAGTAGGGGGTGACCAGGCCAGGATATCACCCGTCTTACCTTCGTCTCCACAGCTTGTCCCCAGGGGTAGAGTAGGTGGTGTCCAGGATATCACCCGTCTTACCTTCGTCTCCACAGCTTGTCCCCAGGGGTAGAGTAGGGGGTGACCAGGCCAGGTTATCACCCGTCTTACCTTCGTCTCCACAGCTTGTCCCCAGGGGTAGAGTAGGTGGTGTCCAGGATATCACCCGTCTTACCTTCGTCTCCACAGCTTGTCCCCAGGGGTAGAGTAGGTGGTGTCCAGGATATCACCCGTCTTACCTTCGTCTCCACAGCTTGTCCCCAGGGGTAGAGTAGGGGGTGACCAGGCCAGGATATCACCCGTCTTACTTTCGTCTCCACAGCTTGTCCCCAGGGGTAGTGTAGGGGGTGACCAGGCCAAGATATCACCCGTCTTACCTTCGTCTCCACAGCTTGTCCCCAGGGGTAGTGTAGGGGGTGTCCAGGCCAGGATATCACCCGTCTTACCTTCGTCTCCACAGCTTGTCCCCAGGGGTAGAGTAGGGGGTGACCAGACCAGGATATCACCCGTCTTACCTTCGTCTGCACAGCATGTCCCCAGGGGTAGAGTAGGGGGTGTCCAGGCTGTATCACGGTGGCTTCAGTGTAGTACCTCAGTAAGTCAACGCGCTGGATCAAAAACAAACGAATACGTGTTGAACTTAATCATATTCATAGCTAAAGACATCCGGAGCACCATGTCGTTCGTTACAATTGGAATTGCATGCAGCTGGGTGAATCCAGGGATATATGAACTTCGTTACATCTGTAGTTACACGTGCTTTGTTACATCCGTAGTGACACGTGCTTTGTTACATCCGTAGTTACACGTGCTTTGTTACATCCGTAGTTACACGTGCTTTGTTACATCCGTAGTTACACGTGCTTTGTTACATCCGTAGTTACAAGTGCTTTGTTACATCCGTAGTTACACGTGCTTTGTTACATCCGTAGTTACACGTGCTTTGTTACATCCGTAGTTACAAGTGCTTTGTTACATCCGTAGTTACACGTGCTTTGTTACAGTCGCAGTTACACTTAGTTCTTTTCATCCATAGTTACATACCCGTGAGTGCATACAGAGAAACTGTCATTAACATAACAATTTTTAATCAACGACATCAAGAACACCAACCAAATGTGAGACGAAATGACCTACGTCATGAAAAGGCAGTTTGCGTCCTTGGATCCAGACGGTGATGTTGACGATGGCGCTCTCCCCGGGGCTGAGGTGATGAAGGGGACACCTGTACTCAACACACTTGAAGTCGGCACAGTCCTGTCAAGTAATCAACCACAGGAGCGGCACTAGAAATCTCCATCAATTAAAAACACATTAGAGTAAGCGCTACATAAGTAATAAAAACAGAAAAATGACTAAACCACATATTTAATGATAACACCAGGTGGTCGCGAACCCGTGTTCGTGTTCATAACTGCAGAATACATTACCTGAATTTTGGTAAACCTAAAGATTGTGTCATCTTATCTTTACAGTTACTGAGGGGCAAAAGAAAATATACCGAGCTTTGTTTTATGAAAATTGTATCAAAAAAAATATATTGTTCCCGAAAATGCTTGAAGTAGAAAATTGAGCGTCTGAAAAAAAGAATTTGGCAGCCACAAAAAAATTGTTGAAAGGCTCATAGCGTTTATTAAAACAAATAACTAGTTTAGGCGCTGTAGCTGGTGTCAATACAAAATCACAGGGATGCCCACCCCCTGAATATCTAGATACCCACAGTTCATTGTTTGGATATAATATCACTAACTTAAGACATATTCAGTTGAACATCAAACATATGATAAAATCAGCAGAGATGAATAGTTGTGTTTTGGTCCCCAGTATAGTTGACCAAGATCTCCAATAGACACAAGTCTGTTCTACAAACCACCGTCCAAGAGTGAGTGGATTTGAAATCCGCTGTGGAAAGTAGTTCAGGTTTACATCACGGCATGTCTGCTTATTGGCGGAGGAAAGCCCGAAGTGATGCAGCAGACATTTTCCACTTTAACAAAACACACGGGTGTGATGGGAGTCAGACGAAGGATGGGGATCGGCGCAAATTTCTGATTCCAACCCACTTCATCGACACCACTATGAAACTCCTCAAATAGGAGACATGTTTTTGAAAACAAAAATGATTCAAGAAAATACCGAAAAAGATCACTTTGACTCAGGGTTTATACATATATCGTGTTGCTATACATACTGGATGTTCTAAAAAGTAATGTAAAGAAAATTGCAAGTCTTCTTTTTTCATGTATTGAAGCAATAAGATCCCCCCCCCCCCCCCCCCCCCCCCCTTCTGTAATATGAAATAGCCCCCTAAACGTACCATGTGTACGATGTTTTTGCCGATGTTCCTTGTTTGGGCAAGATGGCGCTCTCTCAATTTGGAAGGCGGCAAGACAGGTAAAAAATCAGTAGTTATCTCCCCTGGCTCAGTCGAAGTCGACGTCGTGGTGGGCGGAGATGTGGTTGTATTTTGACCGATACCTACACTCTTGTGGTATAACTGACAGACAACGCTGGTTCCGTCCTCTTGTATGAGCTGTGGGGATAAGATGAATGTTGATAGATTTACAGGCCATGTCTGTCACAGATGACAGTGAGAATGTGGATAGATTTACAGGCCATGTCTTTCACAGATGATTGTTAATCTCATGTTCCTCACTTTTATCAGACCGAGCAGCACGCCTCACATCAAGCACTTACCCTGAGTTCCACGCCACTGTTAATCTCATGTTCCTCACTTTTATCAAACCGAGCAGCACGCCTCACATCAAGCACTTACCCTGAGTTCCACGCCACTGTTAATCTCATGTTCCTCACTTTTATCAGACCGAGCAGCACGCCTCACATCAAGCACTTACCCTGAGTTCCACGCCACTGTTAATCTCATGTTCCTCACTTTTATCAGACCGAGCAGCACGCCTCACATCAAGCACTTACCCTGAGTTCCACGCCACTGTTAATCTCATGTTCCTCACTTTTATCAGACCGAGCAGCACACCTCACATCAAGCACTTACCCTGAGTTCCACGCCACTGTTAATCTCATGTTCCACACTTTAATCAGACCGAGCAGCACGCCTCACATCAAGCACGTCCGCCGTCTCCACCCAACACTTACCCTGACGTCCACCGTCTCCACCCAACACTTACCCTGACGTCCGCCGTCTCCACCCAACACTTACCCTGACGTCCGCCGTCTCCACCCAACACTTACCCTGACGTCCGCCGTCTCCACCCAACACTTACCCTGACGTCCGCCGTCTCCACCCAAAATTTTCCCTGACGTCCGCCGTCTCCACCCAACACTTGCCCTGACGTCCGCCGTCTCCACCCAACACTTACCCTGACGTCCGCCTTCTCCACCCAACACTAACCCTGACGTCCGCCGTCTCCACCCAACGCTTACCCTGACGTCCGCCGCCTCCACTAGCTCCTCCTTCTGTGGGGTGAAGTATGGAAGGCTGACGGAGACACGTGTGTGCGGCAAGAAACTGGGGCCTGCGTTCTTGATGACGTATTTGTGTCCGATGGTAACCATGGTTTTGTCCAGTTTATCCATCCGTATCAGTACTTGGTCGGGATCTGACTTTCTGTAATGCATTAAACTTATATGTTAAACATTCTATTTGAGTCGAAAAAACATGGCGGCATTCACCAAAACGTGAGTAAAATGCTGTTGTGGGGACAGTTTGGTAAGGACGTAAAATATATACGAATTTACATTCTTAGTAGGAGCAGTTGGTTTGGACGTGAAATATATACGAATTTACATTCTTAGTGTAGGGACAGTTTGGTAAGGACGTGAAATATATACGAATATACATTCTTAGTGTAAGGACAGTTTGGTAAGGACGTGAAATATATACGAATTTACATTCTTAGTGTAAAATCATTTTGGTAAGGTCGTCAGAGTAGTTTGAATTTGTATTCTCAGTGTAAGACCATTTTCATAAAGATGTGTAATAGAATGAATTTTTCATTCTTAGTGTGGGGACATTTTAGTAATGATGTGAAATTGATACGGGTTTATAGTCCTAGTGTGAGAGCAGTTTGGTAAGGACATGGAATCAATATGAATGCTTAGTTATGAAATTTTTGTAAAGACGTGGGTTACACATGAATTTACATTCTTTGTGCAAGGGCATTTTGGTAATGATGTGGAATAGATATCAATTTACAATCTCAATTGAGGAGAGTTTGAGAAGGACGAAGAATGAATATGAAATTACATTCTTTGTTATAAAGACGTGGACTAAATATGGATTTACATTCTTAGCAATGGCAATTTGATAAGAACGTTGACAAGGTATGAATTTAAATTCTTCATGAGGGCATTTAGATAAGGACGCGGAATAAATATATGTTTATTTACCCATTGATTCCTGTTTGAGCATCGATCCAGACTCGAGTAGTTAGACTGGCTTTGTTATTATCTGGATCCGTCTCGTTACTTCCGGTTTCAACTGAAACGTTAAATTCTACAGTAGACATGTCAGTCCTCATACCGTCCGCTGTGAAGAACACTGCAAAAGCAAACTTGGCCTTGGAATACACCGGGAGAAGAACGTCACATTTCAGACGATATTGGATTATTCCGATTTCCTCAGGGTCTCCGTCGCAGACGACAGGTTGTTCTGGAGATGACTCTGTCGTCTGCATCGACACACTCCCAGACCACGTGACATACACCACTGTTGCGAAGGCGGTTTCCATGTCGTTCCTGATGGCCACGTCCAGTACAAGGCCCTTTGTCGCATTAATAACTATAGCCTTGGTCAGATCCGGCCTAATGACGACCCCGTCCTCGTTGTTGATGCGCGCGAAGAGGTCAAGGACGAGGTCCGACCAACACTGGTTGTCTTCACCACAAGCCAGTTGAAAGGCCACCTGAAGTAACCGAAAAGTCACAATTCTCTATATACCTCCTGAAGAAAACAGTAATAAGGAAAAATGTAAGAAAGCAGGCCTACCAGACCTTTTCGCGAACTTATGAATATGGAAAGGGATTTAACCGCGATTGCAATTTGTGCAACTTGTGTTTGTTGTATTCTTGGTTGGAAAAAGGTGCTCTTCGAAATTTCGGACTGAGGCCATCTTGTGTGTTATTTTTCTTCACAAGATGTCATTTGTAGATACACCGATTGTTAGGCAAAAAGTAATACAAATAAAAGATTTATAGTGTTGAGGAACTCTGACATGTGAGACAATGGTGCATTGTATTGAAACGGACAATGTATCGAGGTTCAATCGAGGCATGTGAGAAATAAGTGATAAATTTATTTCTTCTTGAAAAACTTGTTTTGATACCAAATGTTTCATCAGGAATAATCATGCAATTGAACAGCAACTAATAGCGCAAGCTGCTCTAGAAATGTAGTGGTTTGTAAATAATCGCTTTTAACCGCTTACGTCTTTGATCACTTTGTCGGGTTGTGACTGGTTGGTGACCGGCTGGATGTCGGAGTTGGGATCTGCCGGTTGTGGGAGTTGGTAACTGGCCTCCATCCGGACCACAGTAAACGGATCCTTATCTGCACGATCCTACGAGAATCATACAGAAAGCATGTAATTAATTATACGCAATGAGAATGTCATTATAAATATTGGATACTATTTTAAAAAAGTATGATCCAAATTAATAAGCTGAGATATGATTGTGTGACAAAACCGCAAAATGTACAGAGGATACAGAACATCTCATCATTATGTTTTCCAGGACACAAATTAGAGACCTCGTATTGTTCACCGTGGCATGTTAACAACACCCGGCACGCCCCTGTTTGTCTGTAAGTAGTAATTACATCAGATTTTGGTGTGACGGGGACCGCGATCGAACCCCCGACCTCCCGCTCTCCTGGCGGACGCTCCACCACTAGACCACGGAGGCGGTCAGAATCATAATGACAGTGTCATTTCCAAGTCGTCGTTCTTTGTACAACAACTGAGGTAGACGCAAATGGAGGATGCACCAACTTACATTTACACTGATAGCTTGAAACTCCCGGCACGCCCCTGTTTGGTCGTCCGCAGTAATTACATCAGTTATGGAGTCGATGTAGCCCTGTGTGGAGTTCAGCAGAACTCGCTTTTGTCCGTTTCCTTTGTATGTATCCACGGAAAGCTCGTACGCAAACCCTAAAATACACGTGTAGCATTACACCATGTCGGGTTTTATGACCAAACGCGTAGAGTTTTACACCATATTGGGTTATATGACACATACACGTGTAGCTTACGCCATTAGGGGTTATATGACACATGCACGTGTAGCTTACGCCATGTTGGGATAAATGATACATCCACGTGTAGCTTACACCATGTGGGTTATATGACACATACACGTGTAGCATTACACCATGTGGGTTATAGGACACACACGTGTAGTTTTAAACCATGTGGGGTTATATGACACATACACGTGTAGCTTTACACCATGTGGGTTATATGACACACACGTGTAGTTTTAAACCATGTGGGGTTATATGACACATACACGTCTATTTTTACACCATGTGGGGTTATATGACACATACACGTGTAGCGTTACATCATGTGGGGCTATATGGCTCTCACGTGTACTTTTACACTATGTGTGGTCATATGACACATACACGTGCCGTTTAACGCGATGTGGGGTTATATGACACATACACTTGCAGGTTTACACCATGTGGGGTTATATGACACATTCCCGTGAGGCTTACACCATGTTGGGTTATATGACACACACGTGTAGCTTACACCATCTGAGGTTATATGACACATACAAGTGCAGCTTACACAATGTTGACTTACATAACACATACTCTTGTAGCTTACATCATGTTGGGTTATATAACACATACACGTGTAGCTTACACCATGTGGGGTTATATAACACATTCACGTGTAGTACGCTATGTGGGGTTAAATAACACATCCACGTGTAGCTTACACCATGTTGGGTTATGTGACACACACGTGTAGCTTACACCATGTTGGGTTATGTGACACACACGTGTAGCTTACACCAGGTTGGGTTATGTGACACACACGTGTAGCTTACACTATGTTGGGTTAAATGACACACACGTGTAGCTTACACTATGTTGGGTTATATGACACATACACGTGTAGCTTACACCATGTTGGGTTAAATGACACACACGTGTAGCTTACACCATGTGGGGTTATATGACACATACACGTGTAGCTTACACCATGTTGGGTTAAATGACACACACGTGTTGCTTACACCATGTGGGGTTATATGACACATACACGTGTAGCGTACACCATGTTGGGTTAAATGACACACACGTGTAGCTTTCACCATGTTGGGTTATGTGACACACAAGTGTAACTTACACCATGTTGGGTTATGTGACACACACGTGTAGCTTACACTATGTTGGGTTATATGACACACTCGTGTAGCTTACACTATGTTGGGTTAAATGACACACACGTGTAGCTTTCACCATGTTGGGTTATGTGACACACACGTGTAGCTTACACCTTGTTGGGTTATATGACACATACACGTGTAGCTTACACCATGTTGGGTTATATGACACACACGTGTAGCTTACACCACGTTGGGTTATATGACACACACGTGTAGCTTACACCATGTTGGGTTATATGACACACACGTGTAGCTTACACCACGTTGGGTTATATGACACACAAGTGTAACTTACACCATGTTGGGTTATATGACACACTCGTGTAGCTTACACCATGTTGGGTTATATGACTCACACGTGTAGCTTACACCATGTTGGGTTATGTGACACACACGTGTAGCTTACACCAGGTTGGGTTATATGACACACACGTGTAGCTTACACCACGTTGGGTTATATGACACACAAGTGTAACTTACACCATGTTGGGTTATATGACACACACGTGTAGCTTACACCTTGTTGGGTTATATGACACATACACGTGTAGCGTACACCATGTTGGGTTATATAACACATTCACGTGTAGCTTACACCATGTGGGGTTATATAACACATTCACGTGTAGTACGCTATGTGGGGTTAAATAACACATCCACGTGTAGCTTACACCATGTTGGGTTAAATGACACACACGTGTAGCTTTCACCATGTTGGGTTATATGACACACAAGTGTAACTTACACCATGTTGGGTTATATGACATACACGTGTAGCTTAAACCATGTTGGGTTATATGACTCACACGTGTAGCTTACACCATGTTGGGTTATATGACACACTCGTGTAGCTTACACCATGTTGGGTTATATGACTCACACGTGTAGCTTACACCATGTTGGGTTATGTGACACACACGTGTAGCTTACACCAGGTTGGGTTATATGACACACACGTGTAGCTTACACCACGTTGGGTTATATGACACACAAGTGTAACTTACACCATGTTGGGTTATATGACATACACGTGTAGCTTAAACCATGTTGGGTTATATGACTCACACGTGTAGCTTACACCATGTTGGGTTATATGACACACTCGTGTAGCTTACACCATGTTGGGTTATATGACACACACGTGTAGCTTACACCTTGTTGGATTATATGACACATACACGTGTAGCGTACACCATGTGGGGTTATATGACACATACACGTGTAGCTTACACCATGTTGGGTTATGTGACACACACGTGTAGCTTACACTATGTTGGGTTATATGACACACACGTGTAGCTTACACCACGTTGGGTTATATGACACACAAGTGTAACTTACACCATGTTGGGTTATATGACATACACGTGTAGCTTAAACCATGTTGGGTTATATGACTCACACGTGTAGCTTACACCATGTTGGGTTATATGACACACTCGTGTAGCTTACACCATGTTGGGTTATATGACACACACGTGTAGCTTACACCTTGTTGGATAATATGACACATACACGTGTAGCGTACACCATATGGGGTTATATGACACATACACGTGTAGCTTACACCATGTGGGGTTATATGACACATACACGTGTAGCTTACATCATGTGGGGTTATATGACACATACACGTGTAGCTTAAACCATGTTGGGTTATATGACACATACACGTTTAGCTTACACCATGTTGGGTTATATGACACATACACGTGTAGCTTACACCATGTTGGGTTATATGACACACACGTGTAGCTTACATCATGTGGGGTTATATGAGAAACACGTGTAACTTACACCATGTGGGGTTATATGACACAAACACGTGTAGCTTACACCATTTTGGGTTATAGGACACATACACCTGTTGCTTACATCATTGGGTTATATGACACACAGGTGTAGCTTACATCATGTGGGGTTATATGAGAAACACGTGTAATTTACACCATGTGAGGTTAAATGACACATACACGTGTAGCTTACACCATGTGGGGTTATATGACGCATACACGTGTTGCTTACACCATGTTGGGTTATATTACACACGCGTGTAGCTTACACTATGTTGGGTTATATTACACATACACGTGTATTTTACACCACGTTGGGTTATATGACACATACACGTGTATCTTACATCATGTGGGGTTATATGACACATACACGTGTAGCTTACACCATGTTGGGTTATGTGACACATACACGTGTAGCTTACACCACGTTGGGTTATATGACACATACACGTGTTGCTTACACCATGTAGGGTTATATGACACACACGTGTACCTTACACCACGTTGGGTTATATGACATACACGTGTAGCTTACACCATGTGGGGTTATGTGACACATACACGTGTAGCTTAAACCATGTGGGGTTATATGACACACACGTGTAGCTTACACCATGTTGGGTTATATGACACATATACGTGTAGCTTACACCATGTTGGGTTATATGACACATACACGTGTAGCTTACACCATGTTCGGATATATGACACACACGTGTACCTTACACCAAGTTGGGTTATATGACACACACCTTTAGCTTACACCATGTTGGATTATTTGACACACACATGTAGCTTACACCATGTTGGGTTATATGACACATACACGTTTAGCTTACACCATGTTGGGTTATATGACACATACACGTGTAGCTTACACCATGTTGGGTTATATGACACACACGTGTAGCTTACATCATGTGGGGTTATATGAGAAACACGTGTAATTTACACCATTTGAGGTTATATGACACATACACGTGTAGCTTACACCACGTTGGGTTATATGACACATACACGTGTTGCTTACACCATGATGGGTTATATGACACATACACGTGTAGCTTACACCACGTTGGGTTATATGACACATACACGTGTATCTTACACCATGTGGGGTTATATGACACATACACGTGTAGCTTAGACCATGTTGGGTAATGTGACACATACACGTGTAGCTTACACCACGTTGGGTTATATGACACATACACGTGTTGCTTACACCATGTTGGGTTATATGACACATACACGTGTAGCTTACACCATGTTGGGTTTTATGACACATACACGTGTAGCTTACACCATGTGGGGTTATATGACACATATACGTGTAGCTTACACCATGTTGGGTTATATGACACATACACGTGTAGCTTACACCACGTTGGGTTATATGACACATACACGTGTATCTTACACCATGTGGGGTTATATGACACATACACGTGTAGCTTAGACCATGTTGGGTAATGTGACACATACACGTGTAGCTTACACCACGTTGGGTTATATGACACATACACGTGTTGCTTACACCATGTTGGGTTATATGACACATACACGTGTAGCTTACACCATGTTGGGTTTTATGACACATACACGTGTAGCTTACACCATGTGGGGTTATATGACACATATACGTGTAGCTTACACCATGTTGGGTTATATGACACATACACGTGTAGCTTACACCATGTTGGGGTTATATGACACACACATGTGTAGCCTACGCCATGTTGGGTTATATGACACACACGTGTAGCTTACACCATGTTCGGATATATGACACACACGTGTAGCTTACACCAAGTTGGGCTATATGACAATACACGTGTTGCTTACACCATGTGGGGTTATATGACACATACACGTGTAGCTTACACCATGTGGGTTTATATGACACATACACGTGTAGCTTACACCATGTGGGGTTATATGACACATACACGTGTAGCTTACACCATATTCGGATATATGACACATACACCTGTTGCTTACACCATGTTGGGTTATATGACACACACGTGTAGTTTACACCATGTTGGGTTATATGACACACACACGTGTAGCTTACACCATGTTTGGTTATATGACACACATGTGTAGCTTACACCATGTTGGGTTATATGACACATACACGTGTAGCTTACACCATGTTGGGTTACACCGTGTACATAGTTTACTTATGCTCAAGAAATAAACATTGTGCATTTCTTTTTTAAATCAGGGAAACAATAGAGTACAAATCTTGAAGAAGATGAATGAGCCTCACTGAGACTGGGCGGTAGGCTGACTCCGGTGTAGTGGAAACAAATCCTCAGCAGGAAGCATCTGTCGGCGTCAGTCCCCGCTGGACAATTGGACTTATCCTTGATAATCAGCTGGGGGTCAGTCGTGACGTTGGCATGAAGGTCAACTATGGGCCTCGTTCTGAGAATTACTGCTGAATCCGAGAGGTACGCCCCGACAGCGATATCTGCAAAGACTAGCTAGGTTAGTTATGTCGATTGAACAGTATGTCAGTTACATTACGACAGGACTGTATCATAAAGGGGAACCCGCCCTGTGTGTTCCTGATCGTGAATCGAAGACGATGCTGATGAAACAGAACAGGGAGCACGCGCATACAGCCGGCAGATGAAGGAACAAAACAGGTGCGAATCTATGATGCTAACGTACATCCAGTGGCACAGTGTGACGGGACGCCTTTGACAATTTTTTCTTCAACGCAAATGAAAAGAATCGATATGCAGTCACATGCGGCATTCAGGACACTATCTGACTTTACATTCAACATAGACAAGTTGGTTATTTCTGTTTTGGCGAACGTCTGACCGTACCGGGGTAGCCATTGCCGTCCACGTCAGCAGGCTTGGAGATGCTCCAGCCAAAAGACGTCACTGTCTCGGTGTCGTTGATGTCGCGGCCTCCTATTCTCTGCTTCTCTTCCGCGTTCAGCCCTCCTTCTCCTCCATGGTAGATGTATATCGCCCCATGACCTCCATCCTCATACGGGGCTCCCACTGCCACATCTGGAAGATGATAACGACACAGATGCAAGATACAATACTTATAAGACAGGGTCTTCAGCGTTTATACCGTATGCATTCTCCCATGAGATAAGACGGTTATTACACGTTCAAGAGAAGCATACTATTCAGTGAACGTCCGTCGGGCATACGACCTTTATCACGCGACAGCCATGAGAATACATCACTTATCCCACTATCCCTCGCCGCCATAATCAGTCATCATGCAGCCAAAGGCAACGTTCAGCTTAACGATACATCATTTATCAGGCATACACCTGTAATAACACCGTTGATCTCTTGCCAAGGCTACTGACAGCATTCCCAAACTTACCCGCATAACCGTCACAATTATTGTCTCCAAGGCTACTCACGACATTCCAAAACTTACCCGTATAACCGTCACCGTTGATGTCGCCAAGGCTGATAACGGCTTTCCCAAACTTACCTGTTACAACTGTCACAATTATTTTTCTCAAAGGCTACTAACGGCATTCCAAAACTTACCCGTATAACCGTCACCGTTGATGTCGCCAAGGCTGCTTACGGCATTCCATAACTTACCTGTTATAAATGTCACAATTATTGTCTCCGAGGCTACTGACAGCATTCCAAAACTTACCCGTATAACCGTCACCGTTGATGTCTTACCAATGGTACTGACAGCATTCCAAAACTTACCCGTATAACCGTCACCTTTGATGTCGCAAAGGCTACTAACGGCATTCCAAACCTTCACCGTATACAGTCACCGTTGATGTCACCAAGGCTACGTACGGCATTTCCAAACTTACCCGTATAACCGTCACATTTGATATCGCCAAGGCTGCTTACGGCATTCCAAAACTTACCTGTAATAACTCTCACAATTATTGTCTCCAAGGCTTCTAACGGCATTCCAAAACTTACCCGTATTACCGTCACCGTTGATGTCGCCAAGGCTACTAACGGCATTCCAAAACTTACCCGTATAAACGTCACCTTTGATGTCGCCAAGGCTGATAACGGCATTCCAAAACTTACCCGTATAACCGTCACCGTTGATGTCGCCAAGGCAACTTACGGCATTTCAAAACTTACCCGTATAACCGTCATCGTTGATGTCGCCAAGGCAACTTACGGCATTTCCAAACTTACCCGTATAACCGTCACCGTTGATGTCTCCAAGGTTAATGATCGAAGTCCCAAATCTGGCTCCATGTTCATTCCCCCCCTTGAGAACCACCGAGCTTAGTGTCAAGACGCGCTGTGTGTTACAAACAGAGAACAAATAGAAGCTGCTCAGAATAAAAACAGTCGACGATCAGGTGGAACATTTCATTCACTGGCACAGCTGCATGTGTTGCATGACGATTTGAATCATTGACAACTGGAACTCAGGATAAAGAACTGCATGTATGTAGTCTTCAGAAAGAACATAAAACCATACACTTCTACAGAAAACAAGCAGATCTTGCACACGTAGAAACGTGGTCAGAAAGACATGTTCCCTGATCACAGACTATGCTGCCCAATGTTGCAGTGAAGTATCCCCCTCATGCCAGAAATGTCACGTCAGACGTATGCTCGTATTAGGAGCTCGTTTACGTCAGAAGCATTTCATGCTAGGATTTCTGTTACGTCAGAAGCATTTCATTCTTGGAGCTCTGTTACGTCAGAATCATTTTATCCTCGGAGCTCTGTTACGTCAGAATCATTTCATGTTTGGAGCTCTGTTACGTCAGAATCATTTTATCCTTGGAGCTCTGTTACGTCAGAAGTATTTCATGCTTAGAGCTCTGTTACGTCAGAAGCATTTTATGCTTGGAGCTCTGTTACGTCAGAATCATTTCAACCTTGGAGCTCTGTTACGTCAGAATCATTTCATGCTTGGAGCTCTGTTACGTCAGAATCATTTTATCCTTGGAGCTCTGTTACGTCAGAAGTATTTTATGCTTGGAGCTCTGTTACGTCAGAAGTGCTTTATGCTTGGAGTTCTGTTACGTCAGAAACATTTCATGCTTGGAGCTCTGTTACGTCAGAAGCATTTCATGCTTGGAGCTCTGTTACGTCAGAAGTATTTTATGCTTTGAGCTCTGTTACGTCAGAAGCATTTCATGCTTGGAGTTCTGTTACGTCAGAATCATTTCATGCTAGGATTTCTGTCAAGTCAGAATTATTTCATGCTTGGAGCTCCGTTGCGTTAGAAGTAGTTCATGCAAGGAGCTCTGTTACATCAGAAGCACTTAACGCTTGGAGCTCTGTTACGTCAGAAGTATTTCATGCTTGGAGTTCTGTTACGTCAGAATCTTTTCATCCTTGGAGCTCTGTTACGTCAGAAGTATTTCATGCAAGAATCTGTCACGTCAGAGGTGTTTTCATGCCAGGAGTGCCATTACGTCAAAAGTATTTCTTGCTAGTGAGTGCATTTTCGTGCCAGGAGCACCATTACGCCAGAATCATTCTCACGCCAGAAAACATGTATTCCAGGTACATTTCTCTGTGCGCATGTTCCGTCAAGCCATACATTCTTAAACTCTTCTTCTGCACAATCTGAATTGGAACTTACTAAGTAACGCTAATTTTGGCATCTCTGTCTGGGCAACAAACGTAAATACGGACACAAAAATGTAAGGCGAGTTAATGGTGTTAATGTCTTGCCTGTCTGTTGTCATTGACGAGGTTCAGGTAGACAAACACCCGCCCTTCATCCATGTAAATCTTCTTGTTATGATCACTGCCGTCGTTGTTGTCGGTGAAGAACGGAGCCCCCACCAGCAGGTCGTCGAAGTCGTCCCCGTTAACATCCGCCGTGCACAGGGAGGCGCCGAAGTAAGCGCCGATCTGAAAACATCATGCAATCCGTGTACTGATTCGGGGGTGACGTCATGAAGCGGTGAGCAATGGTTCGCACCATTGTCTAACGTGTGTTTCTTCAGCAAGGCTGTATAGCATTTGTTGCGAGAGATCGTGTAGTGAGTGGGTGAGTATGGGTTCAGCAATATTCGAGCAAATATCACGGCAGCTGAGATGGGCTTCACACAGTGTACATATGTGGGAATCGAACCATGGCCTTTGGCGTGACATGCGGACGCTTTAACAACTAGGCTACCCAATCACCCGAGATATTGTGTGACAGTGTGAAGGGTTGTGAGTCTCTTCCTGGTGTCGGGGCTGTTAGGTCGTTTCTCCATTGTGTAGTGTTGCTCGGGATTGTAAGACGCTTCCTAGCGTTGTGTAGCACTGTGTATTGTTGTGAGGGATTGTAAGACGCTTCTTAGCTTTGTGTAGCACTGTATATTGTTGTCTGGGATTGCGAGACGCTTCCTAACGTTGTGTAGTGTTGTCTGGGATTGTAAGACGCTTCCTAGCGTTGTGTAGCGTTGAGTAGTGTTGTGGGGGATTACGAGACGCTTCCAAGCATTGTGTAGCACTGTATATTGTTGTCTGGGATTGCGAGATGCTTCCTAACTCTGTGCAGATTGCGTAGAATATCGTTGTATGAATAGTGTAGGATTGCAAGACGCTAATTAGTGTTGTGTGGGATCGTGTAGCATGATTCTGTGTTGTATACGATCACTAGACGACCATATACTTAACTGTATAGCGGCAATAGGATTGTGACACACTTCCAAACTTCACGGGCATTGTGTACTTCGTGTGAAACACTAGCGCTGTGTGGCACTGTGTAGGGTGGAGATGCCAACTAGAGCTGTGGAGTTGTTATGTCCCGTGGTTCAGAGTCCTGTAGGAGTTTGAGATGCTAGCCAGCGTTTTGTTACGTTACATTTGATTTTTTATACGTTACATAGCGTTGTGACACATTGTAAACTTTGTGTGAGGGCTTGCTTGTTTGTGTGTTGGTGTGACACATCATACCTTCATGTATCTCTGGGCAACTCACCTGCTCCCCTGTCAGCGACTGCACCAGTGAAAGTAGGTTGTTGGAGTTGATGAAAATGACTATCTGAAAATATAAAAAATGGCGTGTTCAATTGTGTGAGACATGATCCTCCGTAATAACGACTGCTTTGCTGCTGAGGATTTATAAGTGAATTAATTAATATGGTTTAGACAGTTTTTCTGATTTTTGACGGCGTCTAAGGTCTCAGGTTGGATGAAAGGGATGCAGATAAGGATTTGAGGTAAACGATGTAGATCAGGGTTTGAGGAAAGCGATGCAGATCAGGGTTTGAGGTAAACGATGCAGATCTCGATTTAAGGAAAGCGATGCAGATCAGGGTTTAAGGTAAACGATGCAGATTAGTGTTTGAGGAAAGTGATACAGATCAGGGTTTGAGGAAAGCGATGCAGATCAGGGTTTGAGGTAAACGATGCAGATCTCGATTTAAGGAAAGCGATGCAGATCAGGGTTTAATGTAAACGATGCAGATTAGTGTTTGAGGAAAGTGATGCAGATCAGGATTTGAAGAAAGTGATGTAGATCAGGATTTGAAGAAAGTGATGCAGATCAGGGTTTGAGGAAAGCGATGCAGATCAGGGTTTGAAGAAAGTGATGCAGATCAGGGTTTGAGGAAAGCGATACAGATCAGGATTTGAAGAAAGTGATGCAGATCAGGGTTTAAGTTAAGCGATGCAGATCAGGGTTTGAGGAAAGCAATGCAGATCAGGGTTTGAGGTAAGTGATGCAGATCAGGGTTAGAGGTAAGTGATGCAGATCAGGGTTAGAGGTAAGTGATGCAGACCAGGGTTAGAGGTAAGTGATGCAGATCAGGACTTGAGGAAAGAGATGCAGATCAGGGTTTGAGGAAAGCGATGCAGATCAGAGTTTGAGGTAAGTGATGCAGACCAGGGTTAGAGGTAAGTGATGCAGATCAGAGTTTGAGGTAAGCGGTGCAGATCAGGGTTTGAGGAAAGCGATGCAGATCAGGGTTAGAGGTAAGTGATGCAGACCAGGGTTAGAGGTAAGTGATGCAGATCAGGACTTGAGGAAAGAGATGCAGATCAGGGTTTGAGGAAAGCGATGCAGATCAGAGTTGGAGGACTGCGATGTAGATCAGAGTTTGAGGAAAGCGATGCAGATCTGGATTTGTGGAAAGTGATGCAGATTAGTGTTGGAGGACAGCGATGCAGATCAGAGTTTGAGGAAAGCGATGCAATAAGGGTTTAAGTTAAGCGATGTAGATCAGGATTTGAGGAAAGCGATGCAGATTAGAGTTTGAGGAACGTGATGCAGATCAGGGTTAGAGGAAAGCGATGCAGATCAGGGTTTAAGGTAAGCGATGTAGATCAGGATTTGAGGAAAGCGATGCAGATCAGAGTTTGAGGAAAGCGATGCAGATTAGAGTTTGAGGAACGTGATGCAGATCAGGGTTAGAGGAAAGCGATGCAGATCAGGGTTTAAGTTAAGCGATGCAGATCAGAGTTTGAGGAAAGCGATGCAGATCAGGGTTAGAGGAAAGCGATGCAGATCAGGGTTGGAGGACAGCGATGCAGATCAGAGTTTGAGGAAAGCGATGCAGATCTGGATTTGAGGAAAGCGATGCAGATCAGAGTTGAAGAACAGCGATCAGATCAGGATTTGAAGAAAGTGATGCAGATCAGGGTTTAAGGAAAGCGATGCAGATTAGTGTTTGGGGAAAGTGGTTCCGGTAGTAGACATCTAGGGTTTGGAATGTGCCCGACTGGTGCTCACAAACCATGGTTAATGATGAAGTAGGACGAGTTCCAAAATGGATGAATAACTTCTTTATTACAATTATGGCGACGTTGTAGATCCTAACACCTTTATCAAGCAAGCACTTGCTAGATAAAGGTGTTAGGATCATCACTTGCTTGATAAAGGTGTTAGGATCTACACCGAAACGTCGCACTAATTGTAATAAAGAAGTTGTTCATCCATAGAACTCGTCTTACTTCATCACACCAACTTCTAAATGCCACTCAAAGAAGTCATGGTTAATGATCTTGGATCGAACATGGGTTAACGAGCTGATTACAGGAGCTCCGCCGCAACCTAGCACCGCCATGAAGTGTTTGAAGGTATTCCCAATGCAAATGGCTAAATATAGTGTCTGCATTACGCCGCATAAATAAATTTGAACCTACAAAATCGCTAATGCCTGAGTTTCTTCTACAAGTAATTAGGAACCTTCTAGAATATAATATGAACGCCACTATCCATAAAACTTACGTGGACAATCTCCGCACGAGGAGCACCTGCAGCAAAGCACGTGTCCCTTTGGCCGCACAACATCCCTGTGACCACCGAGTACCCTGTGGCCAGGTCAATCACCATGGTTACACATTTTAAATCATTATAGTGTGTGTGTGTGTGTGTGTGTGTGTGTGTGTGTGTGTGTGTGTGTGTGTGTGTGTGTGTGTGTGTGTGTGTGTGTGTGTGTGTGTGTGTGTGTGTGTGAACCCACTGAGATACCATGTCGCAGTTTAACATGAAGACCCCACTCAGACACAGTATACTGACTCCGAGCCGACCAGTCCTTGTTGTCCTTAATGCCGAGTCAGACAGGGTAACAACAAGTACCATCTTTTCACGTCTTTTGGTATGACGGGGTCGGGGATCGAATCCCGGACCTTCCGCGCTCCTCGCGGACGCTCTACCACTAGATCAGGAGACGGTCTTTGACGAAGAGAGAAATAAATACATGATACATGGTAATTAATGTTAAGTCTCCATGTTACTTCCCATCTGTCTCGCGCCGTGTAGTGGTAGAAATATGGTTCGTGGGGGCCTATTCAAGGAATCCCATGGGATTGAGAAAATGTAGGGAAACCATGCGGAACAGACATTACGTTCAGGCTATTCCCTGAGTTGGAACAATGAATACAGTCACGTTGACTCCCTGTTTTGAAATACACAAATACACTTTTTCAGCATGTTAGCCAGCCACTATACTTGCAACCTTACCGAGATATGAGTATTCAGGAATACGGAAGGGCATTTCAAACTCCAGTCGATTCACAAGGTTATTCTCCTTCTTCAGTAAAACGACTCCTCCTAGAAAGAAAACAGCATAATTTCAATGAGACTATTGATTTACGCAGCAAAAAATAATATTCTATCACAGCGGCCTGAAGATAAAAGAGCCAGGGCCCCGTTCCACAAAGCGATCTTAGCGCTAAGTCTGTCGTAAGCCTATGTTAAAGTATGGGAGTTACGATCATCTCAGCGCTACGATCGCTTTGTGGAAGGGGGCCCAGGTCCAGACCCACCAATAGCTGTCATGAGCGATGATGCATACCGTTTGGACGCGATGACAGTCTATTGTCACCAGTCGAGCCTCTGTAGACAGCTCTGACTACACGAACACGGGACGTGGTCCGCCCCGGTATCCACTCGTGGTCAAGTACCAGGCATTTAGTAAATGATATATATATAGAGCGATAAACTTCCGTTGTCATGGCAACCAATGTAACCTTTCATCAACGTCCCACTTGTGTACTTTCAACATCAAAATTGGGCTATTCTGCGTGTGATATTTACAAAATAGCATCCGTTGTCGTGGCAACAATAGTCAGACATACTTGATGTAACGTCGTATTTCAGAGAGACCACACTAAAAAAGGAATTATGTGACCAGATTGCCTTAACTTCATGGTATGTGAACTCAAATAACTAAAATGTCCATCTTGATTCCAGGAATTACTATTTATCTGACCCGAGTGAATGAGCTTTTGGCCTTTGACCTTCGGCCTTCCACCTCAAGCAAGAAGTATGAGTGAGTGAGTGACTAGGGTTTAAAGCCGGGTTGAACAGTTCCAGTTATACCACGGCGTGTCAGGAAACCCGAAGTGATGCAGGTCTGAGACGTTTAGCAGTGTGGTGAAAACCACGAGCACGGGTATGGTGCTGACAAACCCTAAAAACACAATCAGACCGAACCGGGATTCGAACCTACGATCATAGGTTTCTGGCGTGCCAGAGGAACGCAACTCTGCACAGCGATTTGTCCACCCGCTCTCCCTCAAACACGAGCTAAAGATAACCTGTAATTCCGAAAATCGAATAAATCTCTACCTTAAGCCATTTTTTTGGTAAAAATAAAGTAAAACGTCTGTTCTTTTCACTTTTTTGTATCATGACAAATGAAGTTGAGAAAGTGATATTTTCATTGCAGTGAACATAACACTTTGACGGAACTTTTGGCATACAAGAGTTGCCTCCCCTTAAATGTCTCCCTTTATCGTAAGTGTCAAGCAAATGTTGAGGTCCTTTCAACGTTCCACAAGGCAAAATAATGACAGATGGTCATTTATGGAGTTAATATAACTTCTTGCCATTTGTTATTCTCTCGAAAATGTTTCGTTATAAACTGTAATCTTCTCATTTAACTCGTCAGTCGAGACTGTTCCTTTCGCAAAGCGCCATTATTGTCATTTGACCAGCGTGTATTCTTTCACTTCCAACAGCGGTCTCTAAGCGTTCAAGAATATTTTTTGTTAAGTTGATTTTGTATTTAATCATATCGAAATGTATGGTAAAGAATTTTCGTGATCCTAAATATTTGTTTATTCTTGTTTATACTTTTGAAGATTTTGCCAACACGAAACTACTACTACTACTACCTGTGTGTTAGGTTTTCCATTTGTTATGAAATAATTTAATTTTCCGGTAGACAACTACACAAAAAGTATATAATAAATAGGATATTCCACGTGTCTGTCATGAGAGAAACATGATGTTTTACATGACACATGAAATATCCTCTATATATTCTCAACAATGCAGCCGTTAGACGTCATACCTCTTCTATCGGAAAGGTGAAATGTAAACGTTTTTTCTACCCTTATCGGTAACACATATAGCGTCAAGTGTATCTGTGATTCATACCCTTCCATTCGTTGAATCCTGGGACGCCAATCAATACGCTGCCATCCTAGAACGAAGGATTAGAGTGAGTGAGTGAGTGGCGTTTCATCGTTTGCAGCAACATTTCATATCATGTCGGCTGATTTTAAACGTTATAAGTCGCACAGGTCGACTTCCCGCTGACACAGGCGTGGTTTAAAACAACCGCGGATGATAATCGGGAAGATGTGGGATTCGAACCAATGACTGATCCTGGCATCTAAGAAAAGCAGCTCAGTACAGGTTAATGCTCCTAACAACATCCTCCCCGTGATGTAACATAAATATTTTATGCGCCTTTCGTTGAGTACACAATATTCGGCTGTGTCTTAATAAATTATTAATGGTTTTTTTCATTGATATGCGACACGATTGATAGAAGTGGGATGCGACTTTTTGCGAAACTGTATATATATGTAGAGAGAGAGAAAGGTGTGTCTCATTATCCATGCTTGTATAATAACTTCAGATGCTTATGTTCTGTGTGTAGTCGCAGGTACCGGAAGTGAACTTACCGCCATTGCGTCACCGGACATCCCGCTCTGTCCCATACCGTTCCAGAGAATGTGCTTGCTAATGCCGTTGCCGAGGGAAACCCTTTTGAAATAATCTTTTCTGTTCAAAGGGTAGAATTCTTCTGTCCTCATATTAAGGTTGTCAGAGACGCAGCGGCCTATCAGAAAGGCACGCCCATCAGTCTCGTGAATTAAGTCATTGAATCGGGGCGCACAAACCTGAAGTGTAAAGTGATCTTGAGTCGGTATAGTGAGTAGGAGTAGGTGACTGTGGGTGAGTGAGTGTCAGTGTGGGTGTACAGGGTGACCTGGTGTCGGTGGTGTCGGTGGTGGGTGGGGGGAGGGTGGGGGGTGGGTGGTAGGTGATCTTGAGTCGGTATAGTGAGTAGGAGTAGGTGACTGTGGGTGAGTGAGTGTCAGTGTGGGTGTACAGGGTGACCTGGTGGAGGTGGTGTCGGTGGTGTGGTGGGTGGGGGGTGGTTGTGTGTGTGTGTGTTTTGGGGGGGGCTGGGGGGGGGGGGGGGGGGGGCTGGGTGGTAGGTGATCTTGAGTCGGTATAGTGAGTAGGAGTGGGTGACTATGGGCGAGTGTTTGCAGTAAATGTAGGTGACTGTGGGTGGGTGAGTGAGTGTGCATCAGTGAGGGATCCTGGGTCAGTATGATGAGTGAGGGTGAGTGACGGTAATGTGGCGATAATGTGGCTATTATTGTTATTCTACGTTTCATATTAAATGCATTCTTGATTGTTGTCCATTGTTTTTAACATGAAAAATACTTCACTTTGTTTTCTGTTCACGGTGGGTCGAATTAAAGACTTTACCGTCATTATAGATTTAATGTTAACTTTTTCTGACAAGGCCATCTTTGGAGATATTTGTTGTGCTACTGTGTTTTGTTTGTTGGTTCTGGGAACCAGTTATAACCAGAAATCCCCTCGATGTTACTGTACATGTAATATGTGAAGACTTACAGTGGTCGTGTCGTTGGTCTGCACGATGACGGAACCATACATCTCATTGTCAATGTACCACGTTCCTGAAGGCGACACTAAATCTTCTGGAAAGACAAAATATTCAGAGTGAGTGTTTTAGAGAAAACACCAGTGGTTTAACCGAGGATTGTGTGATTGTGTGTCGTTAGAGAAAACTATGTTTTACCCGAGTATTGTGTGTGTGTGTGCGTGCGTGCGTACGCGCGCGCGTGTGTGTGTGTGTGTGTGTGTGTTGGTTAAGAATGTGTTTTACCCGACGATTGTGTGTGTGTGTGTGTGTGTGTGTGTGTGTGTGTGTGTGTGTGTAGAGACAAAATGTGTTCTAACCGAGGATTGTGTGTGTGTTTGTAAAGACTGTGTTTAACCGAGGATTGTGCGTGCGTGCGTGCGTGCGTGCGTGTGTATGTGTGTGTGTGTGTGCAGCACTTTTTGCCGTTTGATCATATGAACTAAAATATACAAAATAATTGCTGTATCTTGCAAGGAATATTTGTTTGTTTGTTGTTCAACGCCGCACACAGCAATATTCCAGCTTTATGACTGCGGTCTGTAGATGATTGAGTCGTGACCAGACATCATGAGCATGGATCTACGCAAGTTTGAAAATACACTCAATGAAGAAATACATAACGTACAAAGTGCATGTAAAGTTAATCTGTCCATGTTGCGTTTATCCTGCATAAATCCTAGCAAGCTGTACAATACTACCACGTATAAGATCTAACCATTAACTCGTTTCAAGCTCTTGACACAGCTGAGAGACTCTGTGACGTCACACTCGTGCGTTGCCCCAGTAGAGTTGCGTGTGGTGGAGCTGTCCTTGGGGGCACCCACGATGAGCCTAAAACACGACACACCGTTACAGTCGTAAGTTCATATTTTACTATCATTGCTAACGATATCAATCACTTCGTCACATGATTATATATACATGCTTATTTTGTCGATCTCTCAGTCACATTGTGATATATACATGCTTATCTTGTTGATCTCTCTGTCACATTATGATATATACATTCTTATTTTGTCGATCTCTCAGTCACATGATAATATTGCATGCTTATTTTGTCGATTTCTCTGTCACATTATGATACATGTATATACATGCTTATTTTGTCGATTTCTCTGTCACGTTATGATATATACATGCTTATTTTGTCGATTTCTCTGTCACATTATGATATATACATGCTTATTTTGTCGATCTCTCAGTCACATTATGATATATACATGCTTATTTTGAAGATCTCTCAGTCACATGATAATATACATGCTTATTTTGAAGATCTATCAGTCACATTATGATATATACATGCTTATTTTGTCGATTTCTCTGTCACATTATGATATATACATGCTTATTTTGTCGAGCTCTCAGTCACATTATGATATATACATGCTTATTTTGTCGATCTACCCATCACATCATCATATATACATTCAGGAGTTGTCAGTTATTATGTAACAAGGAGCTTTTACATCCGTATCGCTGTCGAGAACCGGAAGTATTCGTCACAGGAAAACGCCGAGCCCAATAACTTGATATGACTGCAGTGCCGTAACACAACACTCGAACAAACAGTGTTGAAGAGAGAGAGGGGGAAAGAGAGAGAGAGTGAGAGAGAGAGAGAGAGAGAGCGAGAGGGAGAGAGAGAGACAGAGAGAGAGGGGGGGAGAGAGAGAGGGGGGGAGAGAGAGAGAGGGGGGAGAGAGAGAAAGCGAGAGAGAGAGAGGGAGAGAGAGAGAGAGAGAGAGGGGGGGGGGAGAGAGAGAGAGAGAGACAGAGAGAGAGGGGGGGAGAGAGAGAGGGGGGGAGAGAGAGAGAGGGGGGAGAGAGAGAAAGCGAGAGAGAGAGAGGGAGAGAGAGAGAGAGAGAGAGGGGGGGGGAGAGAGAGAGAGAGAGAGAGAGACTAGCCGAGTAAATTGCTTTACCCTTCTGGGCAGTGTCAACAGTATTGCGTTAACGATAAATATAGACAAAACTATTGTTTCACGATGTGTCGCAGAGTGGGGTTTCCGGTTGATATAAATGTTTACTGGATCAAACAATTGAATTTGAGTCTTGCATGTTAAGTCTCACCAGGAAATAATTTGAACTAAGGGCAGTGGCCGTCATGTTAAATCTTATATACAATGACGATTTCATCACTTCAGACTGTGTTCGGTTCCACAAAGGGATCTTACATACTTTAACATAAACCTATGATAGTTGTAGCACCTTATCGAGTTTGTGTTTGCTACACTGTATTGGCTTTAATCTCATAATAAAGAACAGCTTCCACCGCGTCAATAATGGTCGTCCCGAAGCTGGTAGTAAGCATTAAGGCATACTCTATGAAATACATCGCGCCACCGACCGGTTCCACAAAGCGATCTTAGTCCTAAGACTTGCGTTACTTTAACATAAACTTATGACAATTGTTTCATCAGCACAGATTTGGAAGGCGAGGTCCTAACTGTGATGGTTTCGTTTACAGTGACTCCCCTGTTGGGAGACGTGACTACAAGTTCCCCCACTTACTTATATCCTGACTGCGTCCTCTTGAAGGCACTGGCGTATCCGAACATGCTTCTACTTGGTCCATGGAGAACACGTGCGTGGACAACGTCAATGTTGTAACTGAAACACACATCTACCATAAACACACAGAAAGTTACTGGAAGCGCAGCCAGTCCAACTGTCGCCATGTTGGACGCCGTGTAAGTATGTGTTGCTGGAGTGTCGTCAGCTTCAGCGTCGAGGAGGCGACCGGAAAGTATGGTGAAGTGTTCCGGACATATTTGCCCTGATTGAGTGAGTTAGTAATTACAGCATGACAACGCGTTTAACAGTATTTCAACTGTATAACAAAGTGCCAGCTTTACGTTGGACGGTAGCCTGATGCAGGCCATAGATGTGTACAATATTTGGTGAAACCAAAGCGTGCTTGTAGTGTCTAATAAACCAAGGATCATAATCAGGGTATTTAGCTCTTATCGACTTTGTAAGATGTCAGGATACAAATCAAGTGACAGAAGACAAATTATGGTTGGGATAAATCCTACCCATTATAAAACCTATTTGTTGTTCTCTGTTGCATGTAAGGACGGCTGGTGGCCTCGGGGGTAAAGCGTACGCTCGTTACGCTGAGGATCCTGGTTCGATTCCCGACTTGGGTACAATGTGTAAAGCCCTCTTCTTGTTCCCCGTTATGAAGAGGTAATATTTCAAAAAGCGGCGTAAACCAATACTCACTCACTCAAGCATAGACGTGACATTGGTCCGGATTGACGTTCTAGCCAGTCAGTTCAAGTGAGTTTTAGTTACACGATGTATTCCTATCATATCCCAATTGCGATGATCGCTACTCATGATGTCTAGCATTGGATTGTCTGGTCCAGACTCGATTATTTACAGACCGCCGTCATATAGCTGGAATATTGCTGCTGAGTGTTGCGTTAAACAACAAATAAACAAACAAACAAACTATTTTCAGTGACCACAGACTAGAAAGGACGTGTGGGGAAATGAGCAGTCCAGTTTTAGCGCTGCTTGTCGGGCCATGTGTGACGGAGCTCTGAGACCGACTATGATGATCATATTCTGGAACACACGGTCACGAGTATTGTATTGATCCAAGGATCCTAATCGGGATGAAACTGGCATTCGAGGCCTCGACAAGCGGATCCTAGCAGCTAAGGGACGCAACTCTTCATTGTGATCACTGGGTCACCTTGTGACACTGTTTGCAGTCTATTACTGTAAGTCGATATTAATTTCCTCAGAGTTCCCATAAACTACCAAATGAAAAGCCTTGGTTTTCTTGCACCAGGCCTGATCCAGCTGTTATAACCTAACTACGCTGCTGGATATGACATCAAGATAATTTAATTTTCGGGAGATGTTTCGGCAACTGCTTCAAGACAAAGAATTGTTTTTTTCTCTTTTCCTTTTGAGCGGAAATATTTGCAAAACACATTTTGTAAAGACCTCCAACATGTCGTACTTTTCTCTGTTTTGTGAAGAAAAGATTCAGTTTTTTCGGGAACAAATTCAAATTCAAATGATTGGTCCCTTATTATCGTTTCATGACCACATCGGGATGCCATAGTTTTTGTTCTTCCTGTTTCTGTTGCGTCATCGCATTCTGTTTAGTTTTTTGTCCGCATTGCTAGACTGACACGGGCGTGACTATCACATCCGCAGTGTTCTCTGACGGGAAGGATCGGGGAGGTTCGCATTTCCTACAAACTATCGTGAACAGACGTTGGGAAGATAAACAAGTCAATGACACTGTAAATGTCATTGTAGAACATGTAACTGAAGAATGCCTGCAACTGTACCTGCAACTACCACAACAGCTGATGATTTTGCTAAATTATAAAATAGACACGCACATTTAACCAAGTGTTACAAACAGAGACGAGACTTTTCAATACTAGTTTATGAATGCCGGTCAAACTAAAGTAATGAAAGGTGGTTCAAAAGAGTAACCTGAAAGGCACAATTTCACATTAGGCGCTTTCACTGGTTCAGAGATCGATATATTGCAGGGCCCAGCACGCACATGCACACCTAATACCTTCTGAGTGAGTGAGTGAGTGAGTGAGTGAGTGAGTGAGTGAGTGAGTCAGTGAGTCAGTGAGTCAGTGAGTGAGTGAGTGAGTCAGTGAGTCAGTCAGTCAGTCAGTCAGTCAGTGAGTGAGTGAGTGAGTGAGTCAGTGAGTCAGTCAGTGAGTCAGTGAGTGAGTCAGTGAGTGAGTCAGTGAGTCAGTGAGTGAGTCAGTGAGTGAGTCAGTGAGTTGGGGTTTAACGCCGCTTTTAACAGTATTCCAGTTATATCGCGGCGTGTCAGCTTAATGTGGGAGGAAAGCCCGAAGTGATGCAGATCTCAGATGTTTAACACTTCAGTGAAACTCACGAACACGGGTATGGTGGTGACAAACCTGGAAACATAATCGGGGCGAACCGGGATTCGAACCCACAATCATAGGTTTCTGGCGTGCATAAGGGACGCAACTCTGCACAGCGCCTAAGGCGACTGGGCCATCCGTGCCCCTTAAAACCTTAATAAAATCAAGGAAGGGCTTTCTTCACAGAAAGTATTTGAGACAAGAGGAGTCGATGCCATGTGGATTCTCCCAAAATCAAAGGATTTGCTGGAATGTTTGCAATCTCAGAAAAAAAACCTCTTCTAATCAGTCAAATAATGGATTTTTCCACCATTATCCCACCCGACAAGTCGCTGTCATGTGTATACTGGAAAAATAATCCCAAACAGGTTATGGTGTTGCATCGTGCCAGAACATGCTGCAAACATGTTAACTCATTGCATCACGGAAGCTGAAGATCGTTACGAAACGAAATAATATATGACAACTAGAGTCAGGTTTTGCCAAGTTTATTCACAATTTTGAGTGACTTACAAAGGAACATTTATCAAACGTTAAACATGACAAATAAACAAGATGACAAGATGATCATTTATACAAAATACTAACAACAAACAAAGTTTGACTGAGGCCAAGCTGTAGATACTGAAACTGTAGATTATGTTAACATTAAAGAGCATGTGGCACATTGGAACTGAAACAGTTACTCTTACGTCATCAATGATGCAATATGTCTTGTAATAAGCGATATTACATTTACAATGTTACAGTCATATGGCGTTTGCAAGTAATCAGCGTTATACAACCACCACAGCAGCCTGTATTCAACATTGTCCCGTCGGCAAGTAATCAGCGTTATACAACCAACGCAGCAGCCTGTATTCAACATTGTCCCGTCGGCAAGTAATCAGCGTTATACAACCAACGCAGCAGCCTGAATTCAACATTGTCCCGTCGGCAAGTAATCAGCGTTATACAACCATCACAGCAGCCTGTATTCAACATTGTCCCGTTGGCAAGTAATCAGCGTTATACAACCAACGCAGCAGCCTGAATTCAACATTGTCCCGTCGGCATGTAAGCAGCGTTATACAACCATCACAGCAGTCTGTATCCATCATTGTCCCGTCGGCAAGTAATCAGCGTTATACAACCATCACAGCAGCCTGTATTCAACATTGTCCCGTCGGCAAGTGATCAGCGTTATCCAACCATCACAGCAGTCTGTATTCATCATTGTCCCGTCGGCAAGTAATCAGCGTTATACAATCAACACAGCAGTCTGTATTCATCATTGTCCCGTCGGCAAGTAATCAGCGTTATACAACCATCACAGCAGCCTGAATTCAACATTGTCCCGTCGGCAAGTAATCAGCGTTATACAACCATCACAGCAGCCTGTATTCAACATTGTCCCGTCGGCAAGTAATCAGCGTTATACAACCAACACAGCAGCCTGAATTCAACATTGTCCCGTCGGCAAGTAATCAGCGTTATAAAACCATCACAGCAGCCTGTATTCAACATTGTCCCGTCGGCAAGTAATCAGCGTTATACAACCAACTGCCTGTATTCATTATTGTCCCGTCGGCAAGTTATCAGCGTTATACAATCAACACAGCAGCCTGTATCCAACATTGTCACGTCGGCAGTAATCAGCGTTATACAATCAACACAGCAGCCTGTATTCAACATTGTCCCGTCGGCAAGTAATCAGCGTTATGCAACCATCACAGCAGCCTGAATTCAACATTGTCCCGTCGGCAAGTAATCAGCGTTATGCAACCATCACAGCAGCCTGTATTCATCATTGTCCCGTCGGCAAGTAATCAGCGTTATACAATCAACACAGCAGCCTGTATTCAACATTTTCCCGTCGGCATGTAATCAGCGTTATACAACCATCACAGCAGTCTGTATTCATCATTGTCCCGTCGGCAAGTAATCAGCGTTATACAACCAACGCAGCAGTCTGTATTCATCATTGTCCCGTCGACAAGTAATCAGCGTTATGCAACCATTACAGCAGCCTGTAATCAACATTGTCCCGTCGGCAAGTAATCAGCGTTATGCAATCAACACAGCAGCCTGAAATTCAACATTGTCCGTCGGCAAGTAATCGGCGTTATGCAATCAACACAGCAGCCTGTATTCAACATTGTCCCGTCGGCAAGTAATCAGCGTTATACAACCAACACAGCAGCCTGTATTCAACATTGTCCCGTCGGCAAGTAATCAGATTGAATACAACAAGCGCTGTTTCCTCAGAGGTATTTTCATGCCAGGAGCGCTATAGCGTCAGAGGTGTTTTCATGCCAGGAGCGCTATAATGTCAGAGGTGTTTTCATGCCAGGAGCGCTATAGCGTCAGACGTGTTTTCATGCCAGGAGCGCTATAATGTCAGAGGTGTTTTCATGCCAGGAGCGCTATAGCGTCAGAGGTGTTTTCATGCCAGGAGCGCTTTTGCGTCGGAGATGGTTTTATGCCAGGAGCGCTAGAGCGTCAGACGTGTTTTCATGCCAGGAGCGCTATAGCGTCAGACGTGTTTTCATGCCAGGAGCGCTATAGCGTCAGAGGTGTTTTCATGCTAGGAGCGCTATAGCGTCAGACGTGTTTTCATGCTAGGAGCGCTATAGCGTCAGCCGTGTTTTCATGCCAGGAGCGCTATAGCGTCAGAGGTGTTTTCATGCCAGGAGCGCTATAGCGTCAGACGTGTTTTCATACCAGGAGCGCTATAGCGTCAGAGGTGTTTTCATGCCAGGAGCGCTATAGCGTCAGAGGTGTTTTCATGCCAGGAGCGCTATAGCGTCAGAGGTGTTTTCATGCCAGGAGCGCTATAGCGTCAGAGGTGTTTTCATGCTAGGAGCGCTATAGCGTCAGACGTGTTTTCATGCCAGGAGCGCTATAGCGTCAGACGTGTTTTCATGCCAGGAGCGCTATAGCGTCAGAGGTGTTTTCATGCTAGGAGCGCTATAGCGTCAGAGATGTTCTCATGCTAGGAGCGCCATAGCGTCAGAGGTATTTTCATGCCAGGAGCGCCATAGCGTCAGAGGTGTTTTCATGCTAGGAGCGCTATAGCGTCAGAGGTGTTTTCATACCAGGAGATGTTATCATGCTGGGAGCGCTATAGCGTCAGACGTGTTTTCGTGCTAGGAGCGCTATAGCGTCAGAGATGTTCTCATGCCAGGAGCGCTATAGCGTCAGAGATGTTCTCATGCTGGGAGCGCTATAGCGTCAGAGGTGGTTTTAGCGCTATAGCGTCAGAAGTATTTTCATGCCAGGAGCGCCATAGCGTCAGAGGTGTTTTTAGCGCTATAGCGTCAGAGGTGTTTTTAGCGCTATAGCGTCAGAAGTATTTTCATGCTAGTAAGTGCATTTTCATGCCAGAAGCACTTTAACGCCAGAAACATTCTCACGCCAGAAGCACTGACTCGTGCCCCTCTCGTGGCCATTTTCTGCGACCGGGTTCCGTCTAAGCGCAAACGGGCATACCTAAAACAATTGTCAACTCGTTGCGTAATGCTTCACATATATTTCCTCATATATTATATATATTTCAGATGCAATTTATAGCACATCTGGACATGCGGAATTATACAGTATGATTGAACACATTTAACTGTGTCTTGGGTATATTTCATGGACATATGTAAAATCAAAAATTATTTCTGAGGGATTCTTTGATGTAGAACTTGAAATCATACGCGCATTCTGATTGGTTTGTCGTATTTTCGCACAAAACATTCATCGATAGAGGGACGAGTCTTCTTGCAGGTTACGGAAAGGAGCGAGTGGTGACGAATGGCTATTTGTGTTCTGCCTTGGGCGTGATGTTATGACGCGGCGAGCAAAGGTTGGCAGCACTGTCAAGCGTTGTGTTTTTGTCAGTTAGGTCGTGTAGAATTTTGTGAGAGATTGTGTAGTGAGTGAGTATGGTTTAACGCCGCTTTTTGCAATATTCCAGCAATTGCACGGCGGGGGAAACCAGAAATGGGCTTCAAACATTATACCCATGTGGGGAATCGAACACTGGCCTTCGGCGTGACGAGCGAACGCTTCAACCACTAGGCTACGCCTCCGCCCCAACGTGGAAGGAGAGAGATTGAGAGATCGATTTATATTTGGGCAAACATATAATATCCCTCGCTATTATGGTTCGGGGATAGGTACAGCTTCAATTGATAGCGTAATAACTTGCTTGACGCGTCATTTCCTTCAACTGACCAAGAAGCCACACAGGTCAAGTTGACATGTAGATTTCTTGTAAGATGTATTGAAGATTATACTTAGCTATTTTTCGTCATGTGACAACATTCAGTCAGCACGTTTCAGTGTTGCACTGATGGAGTGCAACCGGAAGGGACGTCGTCCTCTGACGTTCTAGTTGTGAGATATTAAGTACATCCGGGTACCCTTGGTCGACTGTCGTCGCCGAGCTCCAGGTACGGACTGCACGATGGCCGCACACTTTCAATTCATCCGAAATGGTGGACACTACACGTTTACTGTAGAATATATCCAACTGTGGGTGTCTGCTGGTATGGTTTGCGTTCTTTGCGCGGCTCTAACTGTTGTGAATAGGGAGTGTTTTATGTCATATTCTGACTGAAATGTCGCCGATATGAGGCAATACAGCCGAGAATCATAGACTTAAGTCAAATCCACAAAGGTACGGCGTTAAAGACTGAGGAGCAAAAGAAACTGCACCTCTCAGTTGCAAATGTCTTAAGTTAGCGATATTATGTCCAAAACATTAACTGTTCAGCACTCAAAAGAATACTTCTACATTTTTTTATATCTTTGATTAATAAGTTTAAAAAATTAAAATATACAAGTGCTGATGGGTGTCTTAGACAACTCTTTAATACATTTTCTTTTTCGGCACAAATTTACAACATTTTCAATCATGGTAATTGCAAATTCATTCTTTTTGTTAGTGTTAATTGAACCAATGTATTTTTGTACAAGTGAGTGAGTGAGTTTGGTTTTACGCCGGTTTTAATATCACGGCGGAGAACACCAGAAATGGGCTTGACACATTGTACCCACATCGGGAATCGAACCCGGGTCTTCGGCGTGACCAGCGAACACTTTAACCATTAGGCTACACCACCGCGCCAATTTTTGTTCGAAATTGCCCGGCCTCAGATTACTTTTACAAACTGTTGCTGGAATGTATGATGGCTGAATGGACATAATCTAATTTAAAAAACAGTTCTCGATACACTTTCCGTTGCCCATCAGTTTATATCTAACAAAAAGGGAAGTAATTCCCATTTTACGACATGTCGCATATGAACAGAGCCGATCGATGATATGTCGTAACACTCTTTAAAAAAACTCTCGACAAAAAATAAGGAAACTGGTAAAATAATGGTGAAGGTGTTATAAATATTTGTAAAGTTGATTTCGGGCGTAGATAAATATCTGGTGTGTCCATCATGTTGGGCGATTCATGCACGACAACTGTATAACATATTGTTGATTAACTTGCGCATGGCTGCCATTGCTACTGCCCGCCATTCTGCCTTAGAGGCTACCCAAAGCTGGCCCACGTTGGCGAGTGCTGGTTCTGTGGCGTTCACTCTCAGCCCGAGAACATCCCACAAATGTTCTTTAGGGACATGTCAGGGGCTTAGGGTCCAGTCCAATGCTTGCTTTCTAGTCGATGTGGCATTGTCATCTGGGTTGTGTTTATATTTGACGCCACAATGAGCAATGTTCCATCTTTATGGCAGCAACTTCAATAAAAGATTTTAAGATGTCAGACCACGTCCACCGTCAACTTATAGCACTGAAATATACATTGCAATTCTACAGCAATTGTGGATGCTTTTGGGTAGAATTACGGCCAGACACAAACAAGCACACATACATTATTAATTTGACGCGATTTTGTGAATAACGATTTTGTAGGACAATGCGTAAACTCTCCTTGTGGAAAATATTCGACTTTCTTTTGGGGTTGGAGCAGGGCGATCTTACAGCAAATTCGTCAATGTTCGTGGTCCAAATGCATTACTTTCTTAGCCTTTTATTCAACTTTTTAATTATATTTTAACGAATATGGTTTTTATCTCAAACCACAACCGTTTGAGAAACGTCAATCTTCATACCTATAATCAGAGGAGAAATACACCGACGGGCAAAAGAAAGCTTTCACTTGCAAACTGGATTTGACCAAACAATTTCACACGTTGTCAAAACGGTATAGGCTGAAAACAGTCACCGGATCACGGTGATACCCGTATCAAATATAACAGTCGAATAACCTTTTCTTGTCTCGTTTCATTATTAATCACCGTCAAACATGGATGTCTACTTTCTTTTGCCCGGCAGTTTATGTGATGAGTGAGTGAGTGAGTTTGCTCTTACGCCGCTTTTAGCAATATTCCAGCAATATCACGGCGGGAGACACCAGAAATGGGCTTCACACATTGTACCCATGTCGGGAATCGAACCCGGGTCTTCGGCGTGACGAGCGAACGCTTTAACCACTAGGCTACCCGACCGCCCCTTAGGTGATGATTTAGACACTCCACAAATCTGGAAACGTTTCACGCCCAAGGTTTTCATAGGTCATGTGATAAAAGGAAGTGATAACGTCTGACGAATATTGGTTTGGATAAGCTAAAAAATATATTCTTCAACAGACAATAAAAAATCAGTTGTGCTATTTATTCATACTTTTTTCTTACTTAGCTGTTTTTATGATATATCTTCAGTCAATGTATTTGTCAATGTGGATGAGGTCAATTTATCGTCGGGGCGGTCGGGTAGCCTGGTGGTTAAAGCGTTCGCTCGTCACGCCGAAGTCCCGGGTTCGATTCCCGACATGGGTACAATGTGTGAAGCCCATTTCTGGTGTACCCCGCCGTGATACTGCTGGAATATTGCTAAAAGCGGCGTAAAATCAAACTCACTCACTCACTCACTCAATTTATTGTCATTAATCACTCTACTGGTGAATAGTTAATAAAACGCGAAGACTGCAAAGTTTGTTTGTATTTATTATGAGAAAATAAATAAATGACAATAATGTCATATCACGGCGTGTCAGCTAGACGTTGGAGGAAGGTATCACGGGTCTTCGACTTTTACATCTGGTAAAAATCCACAAGCACGACAAACATAGAAACACATTCAGCACGAGAGTGGCATTGGAGCCCCTTGACTCTGGCGCGCTTAAGTGACGCATCACTGCACAGAACCACCGCACCGTACTCGTGTCCCCCCTAATCTGCATATCAAACGTAGTTTTTGAATAATTTGGGCGTGACGCGACTCTGTAATGCGTCAAAATAGTTCTCTTTATTTCCGCGACGAACACGGATTGCCTTCGGCGGAAGTGTGACACTGACCTCGTGACCCCGGAACAGCTTCACAAGTATAATACCAATCGCTGATTGGTCAAAGCGGTGACACTTGCTATACTTCCGTACTTCCCCTCGACAATGAAGAAGTTTTTCGTGTTTATCGGGGCACATGCAGTTGGGGCTGAGAGCGCATGCGACCCAGGGTTTCACCACTGCATGACGGATAAACCGATCATTCTTGAACATGATAAAGAAAGCTCCAGGCTCCACAATGTTGGAGAATTTGCAATTCTTTTCCCCAAAGTAGTCCATCATGCTCGGCGTTGTGTGCTGACCAATGGACCAATCCGCCCTGCTGATGGCCACGCCCTTAACGTCAAGTTCCTTCAACAGAGTGAGAATGGAATCGCCCTGGAACCGGACCGAGGCGTCTGCCCACACAAGTTTCTCTGCCGTCGGGAGATTGGCCTGCAATAATGGTACGGCATTATGAAACCTTCAGAACACGTGAATGAGTGAGTATGGTTTTACGCCGATTTTAGCAGTATTCCAGCAATATCACGGCGGACACCAGAATTCACAAGTATTACATACTATGGAATAGAAGTAACCTGTTGTAGTATGATAATAATATATTAATAATAATAATAATAATAATAATAATGATAATAATAATGATAATAATAATGATGAAGAAGCTGCTGCATATTTGAATGATCTTTTTACACAAGTCGTTACAGCTTGTGTTGAGATAGGCATTTTGTCCTTGAGTCGTAGCCCAACGCGCTGGTTGCTATTGGTTAGTTTTGGTCATTATTGTTTCATGCTATTGTGATTTTCTAAGTGCACATCAACTCAGTCCTTTCAAGTTTTTGAAGATTTATGCAGCACTGGTGTGAAATTTGAATACTTGACCAGCTGACCACCCTATCAGTTTGGTAACCTCTTACGACTAGTCCAGATGATAACATAATCTTATGTCCACAGTCCTCGTACAATACTGTTACAGTTGCACAGATGTCTTCGTGGTATCAACAAGCACTCTGAACACAGCGTTACCAGGCAACGCGATGTTTATGACTGAGAACATTATGAAATGATTATGACAAGGAGCACTGCCGTGACTGTGACTTTGGCCTGGATGATGTTACTACTGCCAGCGCCTCAACAGGAAGAATCCACTGCGCATGTCACATTACTGCTGCTTGTCTTACGACTAATTACATGTAATCAGTCCTGCTTAAACTTCACACATATCACAAACACTCTGGCTGAAAGTAATTTTCTGTCGAGGATCGAACAAAATGAAAAATTACAAGGGAGACTACTCACGTTGATGATCAGCGGCTTCCAGGTGTAGCAGGTAAGTTTCCGAAGACGAGGGGGCATGGCCCATAGCGGGAATGTCCTCACATCGCAGCGGCAGAAGCGTTCAACCTGGGCAGAAGGAAGAATGATTAATAAATTATAATGAAGATGGTTCTATGGTTATTGATTAAATAATATAATAATAAGATGCCTTGCGAGCGTTAGATACTTACTTCTTTAGCCCACCAGTCCTTATAAATAATATAATAATAAGATGCCTTGCGAGCGTTAGATACTTACTTCTTTAGCCCACCAGTCCTTATAAAGATAACATATAGCAAAACCCTTAAAACTGGCAATTTTCCTCATGATACGGGAACTATTAGGCAGTTTGGCAAGGACTATAGGACCAGTGCCAGTGTCTAACGCTGCTTGCAGTACCCACACGATTCTGCAGCGGACCTATTTGTACCTTCGTTCCAATGTTACAATATTTTTCTCTTTTATTTCGGCTTGAAGTGCTGAACTAAAACAATATGGCTATTTTGATCAAGTTTAAGGACGCAGCTCGAAATAGCTCATTGTTAGGTTTCCCTCTCTCGTTCAAAGTGTGACCTTCCTCACTTAGAACTATCCACGTTTGGCGGACTCGCCTGGGTCGCCTCAGCTCGGCCCCCTTTTCGACAATAGTCGGTAGGTGTCGCCATGTGTGTTTGCTTTATGTCGCCTCAGAGTGCGATACGCACACGGCACACGTATTTCCTTGATTGTGTAGATGCCGTGATACTCAGAGGTGAGGTGAGGTGAAATGGGGTTTAACGTCGCGTCCAAGATTATTGCACTTATTAGGCGACGTGCATGCACGTGTATGTGTGTGTGTGGCTGCTTGTACTACTCCGGACTGATGCCGATTTATGTTTGTTGTCGAGATACAATAGCAGATATACCGCTCCGAGTGCTTCCTCGCTCCTTCCGGGGCGGTCGGGTAGCCTAGTGGTTAAAGCGTTCGCTCGTCACGCCGAAGATCCGGGTTCGATTTCCGATATGGGTTCAATGTGTCAAGTCCCTTTCTAGTGTCCCTTGCCATGATATTGCGGGAATATTGCTAAAAACGGCGTAAAACTATACTCACTCCTTCCGGGGAACTCGACGCTGATTAGAAAGTTCCCCTTACGAGATCCCAGGTGAGGTTTGTCAGTGAGGTAAAATATCGGAGATGACGTAGATATGATTTTGATGAGCTTATCCCAATCACATTAAAATCAGATCTGATTTCTCGATACCGCTACACAAAGAGCTGAGGACTTCTCATTACGGGTCACGTCAGAACGACCTTTCATCCGACCATCAGTGCGTCGCTAACCAGATCGGAAAAGTGACAGTCGGAATGTCGATTCTAATCATGCAATCTCGAAGAATTTAATACGGGGTATTCCAAACTACAGAAACGGCCTGTACGGCTGATTCCGTCAAAATCATGGTCTATCTCGCGCTTCAATGGGTCAAACATTTGAAACGGAAGTTACTTTCCATTGCCCGCTGGCATTAACTACATACAATCTTGGCCATTTTTTTTAGACATTCCGAAGTTTACTTTTGTGCTGTTTTTAAATTTTGAATTTATATTTTTCAGAGCGTAGTCTTGAATGGAAGTCGCCTGTTTGAAACCAGTGCCGTAAAGCCGAGAATGCTGCTTTCTGATTGGCGAATGTTGACTTCTTGTTACTCATTTCATTGGTCGGTCAAAGTTCGCGAAAGGTCATTCTTATGTCACCCGTAACGGGATGTCCTCAGATCTTTGTTTGCGGCAGCGAGAGCTAAGATCTGATTATTATTGAGATTGGAGCTTGCCCGACCACACTTTGAGGCAAGCACACAGGGCGGCACCTACCAAGGGAGGGAACCCGTCACACTACTGACCTTGCTCCTCTGTTCGGTGGTCAGTCCAAGGTCATAGTACACGAAGCTGTAGTTTGTGAGCAGGGGGAACACGTTTTCATGGAGGTTTTTGATCAACGCCTGCGATTCAAGGAAATGGTTCGTAGAAGCAGCAGTCACAAACACGACCTTCTTGGCTGTGTTGCTGGGCTGCAGCAGTCGGGTCACTTCCGCAAGCGTGTCACTGTCAAGGTCAGCCATTGACTTAAGTACGTTAGTTAGACTTTCTTTCGGGTCAGAGGTTACATTGCCCACGCATTTGGTGTCCTCACACGGAGTTGCTGAAAGGCATTTAAATGAAACATAAACAGTAATCATATTTGTTTTGTACGCTTTTGAAGTATTATACAGTGTTTCATCAGTACCGAATAGATAATCTTTTTGTATAATGACAAGTTTTGGGTGAGTTGAATAACAGGTGGTTAATTAACAGACAATACTTAAAGTGACGTCATATGTCTGTAGTCAAATAATAGTTTCCAGTGTGTATCAAACCAACAGCTCTTGGCAGTAGTTCAAAGTTCAATGTAGTATAAAAACATAAGTCCTTAAGATTTGAATGTGAAAATCAATATATGAATTCTTTTGTCAAGCTTTTCCTACTTCGCAAAGTCCTCTTCGGACTATAAGACTTACATGTTCCAGTGACTTTGTCGCAGGTCTTGGTTGGGGGGTTTGACTTCCATAAACCGCCGTCCTTCATAGCTGAAGACATAATATACAACAAGGCGTCACACGTGGTCATATTTGCGGTTATTGTTATGTATTCGAAACCCCTAAACTTCTTTTGGAACTGATGACGTTAGCCAGTGGGTTCATATGTTAAATTTAGCGGACATCGGTTATTTGTCTAATTTATGTTGTATGTAAATAAACACGGGAACAGCCATCCTGCCATCTCTAACGTTCTCTCTCTCTCTCTCTCTCTCTCTCTCTCTCTCTCTCTCTCTCTCTCTCTCTCTCTCTCTCTCTCTCTCTCTTTGCCTTCCATACTCTCTCTTTCGCTCCTTGTCTCCATACACCCCCCTTCTCTCTCTCTCTCTCTCTCTCTCTCTCTCTCTCTCTCTCTCTCTCTCTCTCTCTCTCTTTCTCTCTTACTTTGAATTCTTGCTGTGTAGTCCACGAACAGGTCTTCAAACCGCACCTCTGTTTAAATAGAGCAGGAAGTTTATTATTTAACATTGCTGAAGCTTTCAAAAAGGTTTATGGTAGACAGGAGGAGGATATTTCCAACTTTGACGCATTACCTCCCTTTGCCAGCGTCGGAGAGGGATATGCTCACATTTTCGCGAACACCTGTTTTGTCAGCAGTTGATAGTGATTCATAAACACGTGCTCATAATATAGTCGGAATCGTACAATGGACTCATTTAGCAGAGTGGGTGAGTGAGTATGGTTTTACGCCGATTCAGCAATATTCCAGCAATATCACGGCGAGGAAACCATAAGTTGCTGCCCCGCCAAATGCAAGTATAAAGACAATACAGTGAAGATACACAAACCCTCGTTTAGTTACTGTATTGAAAAATATTCCAATATTTGCATAGCGACTAACGCTGTCGTGTATTTTGTTTTGGGCTGTTTTAAGTTTTGAAAACAAAAACTCTTTGAATTTTATATTTACAATTAATTACAATTACCCTCATTGTCGTGTGGTCGTAGAATCGGATTTTCTTTTTTCAATGTCACCCTCGGAGTTGCGTTTTTTGATTCGCCACCTGTGTGCAGATAATGCATAAGATCAGTAAAGTTATACAAGCGAGATAGTTCTCATAGTCAGAGTTTAACGACCGCTTCTGAGACGCCCACTTTCGGAGTCGTTAAATCTTCTTACACGTTACTCGACTATACAGATGTAGAATATTAGGATATCATTACCATTGTCTGCAAAGCGAGTGAGCGTCCATTGTGGCGCGTTGTTCAGCAGAACGAGGGCTAGCAAACCAACGCTGATGAACAGGAGGAACCATCGGTCTGAAACATGTATTGTGAGAAAACTACATGAAAATACAGGAGAAATGACGCTGGGTCTAATATTAATAATAATATTGATGATGATGATGATGATGTTGATGATGATGATAATGATTAAGAATTTAGCTCTAAGTTATATCATCTAGAAGTAATAACTTCAGTGTGCGTCGTAATTATGTATTTATATTTTTCAACAAATACATGAGACTTTATCATAAATACTAAATACTTACAAAAAGACTGGAATACTCCTCTCTGGAATAAGGTAGAATATAATGCCATTAATAGGTTTATAAAACAGATGCAATATTGAAATAGTTTCTTACATGTGAAGGGTCGTAAAGCTACCAAAGCTCTTGGCTAAAGGTATATATAATTTTATCAAAGTAATAAAACTGTACAAGTTTAATTATTTCGGTCAATATCAATGACTAATAAAAACGACAAAATCCTTTCCATAATCATTAGCAATCTTTGTTTAAGATAAAAATGTATTGGATTCACTTGCAAAATAGAATAACGGAGCTAGATGCCATCTTTGACAAAACTGAGAGGCGGACACGGAGGTGTTTGGGTGAAAAAGACGAAAAAGAAGAACACGGTACATAAAACCGACAACAACAAGAAGCTATTCACAAACTATTTGGTCTCGGTCGGTCAGATGCGAGACCCGGCAGAGGAGGCACCCATAGACCGATGTTTAATGAACGGACACATTTTATATCACATCATATCAGATATTAACCCTCGAACCTGCGGCTGTATAATGTCACACTGAGCAAGGAATGCGAACTTCCGTTGTTTATCATAATTTACAGTATCTAAAGTATTTATACCAACAATCGAAAGTTAAATTTCCCTCACGCATATCAGAATTCATATATACTACCAATACCTAAATTACATTCATCAAAACGCTTTTATTAAAGATTGGTTCAATAAATGAAACAGACAGGCTTTAACGATGACGTCACTTTGGGTCTGTTGACCAGACTACTGCTCCCCGGGGGTGCAGTGTGTACGGGCAACTTTCGTCTATCGAAGCAACTTTCTGACCTGAGGCAATCTAGACTTGCATAATCATTTTTATTTTTTTCTCTAGGGTCTGGGAGACAGATAGTCTGTCATGCAGACCCTGAAACAAACAAAATTATCCAATACAGCCCATGCAAGTCTATAATGTTCGACAAGTCTAGATTACTGCAGTAAAAGGAACAGGAAAATGAAGAAAGTCTCTGGGCTCCTTTATATCATACTTTATAACTTTATCTTAACAGCTGTTGAATATGTTCATTTCAGAGACTAGATGTTAGTCTAGGAGACAGACTACTGGCGTAACAAATGGCAATATATGATGAAGTCCTATTTTTGGTCAACAGGAAATGTCCAATATTGAGGTCAAGGAAAGAACATAATCTGACATATTCAAAGGTTTGAAAGCTGTCTCTTTCTTAAAATGGATTCTTTCGACTTATGACATTTTCAAATACACACGATTGTCTAAAATGAACGAAAAAGGCCGCTTTCCAACTTAGCGTTGACGGTGACGGTGACGGTGACGGTGACGGTGTGTATGTCAGTGACCCTGGAGGAATACTACCCATATGTGTGTGTGTATTTTATATACATCTTCTGTGAGTGAGTGTGATTTTACGCCGCTTTTAGCAATATTCCCACAATATCACGGCGGGGGACACCAAAAATAGGCTTCACACATTGTACCCATGTAGGGAATCGAGCCTGGCACTTCGGCTCGACGAGCGAACGCTTAACCCCTAAACTACCCCACCCTCCCATACCTTCTATGAAGCGTAGCGCGTGTCAAAGACTAACTCATGTTAAAAAAATCAAGACGTTCTTCTTGAGAATCTCTAAAATCCGCTTTATCTGACATTTGACATTACCCAATCATTTGGCGTTGTTGGTCCAAAACAATGGAGTTGAAATAAACCGCCACATCTAACTATCTCAATGATTCCTAAAGGCTTTGCTAATTGCATATTTTTTTCTATCGGCGAAAATGGACCTTGTCCTTTAAACTCCAGTGATTGACATCATGAGCATCGATCTACACAACTGAGATACGATGACGTGCATCAACCGAGTCATCAAGACTGACCACCCGATCTGTTAGTCGCCCCTTCCGACAAGCATCGGTTGCTGAAGATCAATTCCATCCCATATCGTCACGGGTTCTTTAAAGATAAACAGATGAATAACTTCCTAGAGAGGCGTTTAGAAGTTGGAGTATTAGTAAGGATATGATATATGGATGAACAACTTCTTTCTTACATACCTCATACCTGTATGTATGCTGCTCCACTATACTCTGTACATTACTTGCTTGGTAACGGTGTTACAGCCTTCACCTAAACATCGCTCCTAATTGCAATATTCGTTATTCATCCATGTATCTTATCTTCACTTATACAGAGGAAATCGAGCACCTACCATGCTGGCTGTGGAGTTGTCTGGCCACCGCTGTCAACAGGTATGGGATGTAGGCGAGCAGGGGATCAATATAGCCCGCGTCCACACAGTAGTTAAAGCGCCTGGGCGGGGCCGTGCTAGCCTCAGGGCAGGATTGAAGCATACCGTTATCTTTCGATCAACATCTTATCTATTCCTCCATATGCAGTGAGATAAGTAATGCTGCTTTGCTCTTAGTCATGTGTGGGTGGTGTAATGTTTGATAAGGGTATTTCAGTTCAGGGAATAGGGGAGGTGTGATCGACTTGTGGTGAACCGTTCGCTCGTTACGCCGAAGACCCGGGTTCGATTCCCGACATGGCTACGATGTGTGAAGCCCATTTCTGGTGTCCCCCGCCGTGATATTGCTGGAATATTGCTAAAAGCGGCGTAAACCCATTGTCACTCACTCACTCATGAAGGATTCAGAAAAATGTTTAATCAAAGGTTGATTAGTAATAATTAGACTATGCCTACACCACTGCCTTCGAAAGCAGATATATTCTAATATATTTAGAAACCTTTTGATGCAGTGAAATGCGTACACGTCGCTCCATAATGCATGGAAGCTTGGAGAAGTGGGCTTCTTCCCGCTCGACCTCCGCCATTCTGCCGTACCCTCAAACAATCTCACTGAATATTTTTAAACGTACTTGGAGTCTCACGGTAATATTGACTAATGTACCCTATTTGAGACACACTAACGGAACAAGATATTCATCTTCGATAGCATGTACAGTTTGCTGATGATTGGAATCACAATATCTAGAATTGTTTGGCTTGTGTTGGGTCCGACTTGGCCCGGGCTGTCCAAATCAATTTTTAACACACAGACAGATGTATCATCAAATGTGTTTATATCTACCTATATACAAAGTTATAATGTCACAGTACATCGCACTGAAAGAAAACTGATCCGTGGGCTACACGCTGAGATCGGTGAGAGAAACCTTCTCATGAAAGAAAACACACAGTCAAGATGCTGACTTTTCTACGAGGACACGCGGTATGTGGTCATAATTATCAGTTTATTACATTGTTAAGATGCATTTTGGTTCAAACTCAATTAAATGAGAAAAAATATACGTTTGTGGATATTTGAGTTCTGCCTAGATATGTAAGTTTCGTTTTAATATTCTGGAATCCATTTTTAGTATTACCCGTTGGCCCCGCCCGACCCGACTTTTTGGCAATCCCCATTTCTGGTGTCCCCCGCCGTGGTATTGCTGGAATATTGCTAAAAGCGGCGTAAAAACATACTCACTCACTACAGCTCTGAAGCTTTAAGATGGTTATGTGGCCTTCTTCTTACCTGAAAGGGTAGTAGGTGATTGTCGACATACACTATTATTTATAGACAGTCGGTAGTTGTCCATGACACGATCTGTATATACTAATTTTAAAGTAGCATCTGATATCATTCGTGTCAAATCTAAAAGGCTACATAGGATGCATCTTAAATGTATCCTAAACAGTGTAAGGTCTCTCTAATAATAAGTTAACAGACACTAGTCTTCCACTTTAGTTTTTTTTATCTAATCATAATTATCATATCAGGTTTATGTCAAACTTCGTCGCATGAAAAGAATAAGATACAACTGTGTACATCCATATACAATACACATAAATTATATATCTTTTGGAACTTCTTTTCGAGAACACAATATATGTTTTGCATTTCATTATATAAGAAATCTGTATGTATGTTTTTACATAACATATACAAGTGTACAATCAACAGTGTCCTGTCATGTTTCCCCATTACCCGGTACTGTCAGTAGTCACCATCCCGAGCTCATCCCCCTTTCACTGTATTTTGTTTTCAACTGAAGAAGATCTTCAACACCTTATATAACTGGGCATCATCTGTTAAACGTCAGCTTTATTCACATGGCTATGGTAATACTAGTATATGGATAGAACAAGACACGGATATACTATAGGTGCTTTTACTTAGACCTTGAAAGATACACACTTTCTGAACAGACATTGTTCGCTGTCATTATCCAATAAACTATCAAGTCATTCCCTCTTATACAGTTTCTGGAGAAAGCAGAAAGCAATAATTATTAAATGTAACACTAAAATATTTAGAATAGCATTTGGAGTGATCTCAACCTAGGTCCAAGTCGCTCTGGAGTGATCTCAACCTAGGTCCAAGTCGCTCTGGAGTGATCTCAACCTAGGTCCAAGTCGCTGTGGGGTGATCTCAACCTAGGTCCAAGTCGCTCTGGAGTGATCTCAACCTATGTCCAGGTCGCTCTGTAGTGATCTCAACCTAGGTCCAAGTCGCTGTGGGGTGATCTCAACCTTGGCCCAAGTCGCTCTGGAGTGATCTCAACCTAGGTCCAAGTCGCTCTGGAATAATTTGGGCCGTCGATTGAGCACCTCCCACACCCATTATTGATGGTGGCTGAGATGAAAATGGTTATTCGATGGTGATGTATTTGATACGGCTGTAGTAGCTGTGTTTTGGACCTAAAGTTGCAGTGTTTCGGTGACTGTTTCCAAGCTACCAGCGTTTTGATAACGTTTGTAATTTTGGCGTCAAATATCAAGTGTATATTTTCTTTTGCCCGGTAGTGTATTTGTTCGGTTTGGTTTAAAGGTTTGCTGAAACATTCTTAAAAGGCTTTTTACTGACATTTGATACCGTATGAGTTCTTTATATAGAAGAAGGAACATTGCTGAAGCAATAGGATGATAAGAACCCTTTAAAAATAATTGTTATTGATATTCTGGTGAAGCGAAATAAGGGAACGCCTAAAGTTTCCTATATATCATGAATATAATAAGGATTTAAGCATGCGCATAATGGCTTATATATTGTATTCATTTTATAACAGTGTTATGCATTTCATTATTTATGAATTAGTATATATGAAATATAAAAGTGATATTCACTTCGTTATATGGCTGAAATATTAACGTTTAAAATCAAATTCATTTCACTCACTAACTCACAGTCTAAAGTGGGAATCTGATGATGAGGTGATCTGATAAACTGTGATAAGACCCCCAGAGATGATATGTTACAGATGTAAAGCATAGCCATGTTATCTCAAAGTGCAACGACTAAGTGGCGTAACGGCAAAGTGCAGAAATAGCCTCACCGTGATCTGATGACCCCAGGGCTTCTTCAGATAATGTGTCGCTCATTCGGATATAGTTATCATTAAATCTGAGCACTGGAAGATTACAGTCATTATACTACCCTGCAATTAAGTACATGGCGGTAAGTAGGGTAAGGTGAGGTGAAATGGGGTTTAACGTCGCGTTAAAGCTTATTTCACATATATAGCGACGAGCATGCACACGTGTGTGTGTGTGTGTGTGCGTGCGCGCGAGCGTGTGTGTGTGTGTGTGTGCGTGCGTGCGTGCGTGTGTGCGTGCGTGCGTGCGTGTGTGTGTGTGTGTGTGTGTGTGTGTTTGTGGCTGCTTGTACTTGTCGTTGTGTTTAAGAGGTCGCCTTCTGCCTAAGCAATTTCGGCCGACCTGTCCCTCTTTGGGACTCATGTGTGTGAGTAGGGTACACATATCTATTGTGAGTTTGGTATTCACATTATTTCTGTTTTTGTATTGATAAGATTTCTATTTTCGTATATTGATATAATTTCATTTTTATCCTTGACTACTCTGTTTATATACGGTCGAGTAGCTGTCCATCTCTCAGAAATAGAGTTAGTCTGGCCGTCGCTATTGCATCACTTGGCTTTAGGAGATTTATGACAGCTAGTGGATCTAACTGCAATTCTTGTTTTAACCTAGTCCGGGCCGGGGTCTGTACTTGTCCGGACGAATGTCGACTTTATAGTGCTAGCCTACTATAAAGAACATGCGTAGTTGAACGTGGATACCCCCACTGTGATACAATATACTGACCATAAACCGACCAGTCCTTGTTTTATCTCTAATGCCGAGCACCTGGCAGGGTAACAACAAGTATCATCTTTTGAGGTCTTTTGGTATGACGCGACCGGGGATCGAACCGCCCACCTTCCACTCTCCGGGCAAGCGCTCTATAATCTAGACCAATTAAGCGGTCAATTTCCAGGCTAAGTAAATTATGCTGTCCAGTGTTTCATTCTTGAAGTATCAGGCCACTGGCTCACAGAACAGAACAGAACAGAGTTTATTCTCAAAAACACACAATAGTGGCACAGAGAACACACATGACGAAGTATAATACCATTGTACAACGAATGTAGCACAATACAACCAATTTGGAGTTAAAATATAATATGCATTATATATACATACTTTATACAATATATACATTCATATTTGCATACACTATATACATCATATTTGCATACATACCTGCGTAAATAATTACATATTGAGGTACTATCTTGATATGTAGTGGCATGTAGATCACTCAATGTAGCAGTGCGAGTCCATTCTTTATATATTTACATAACTTTGTAAGAAGAGGTTTGAAACCACAATTCATTAAGTAGTTGTATTTATGCACAGTAGGATACTTACAAAAGTAGCCTGGTAAAAGGGTTGTTCTAAGGTTGAGTAATTCATTACACCTAAATAAAAAATGAAATTCGTCGCCAACAGCGGCATTACATAGAGTACAATATCTGTTTATACGTGGTATTCCGTGCCATCTTCCTATTTCTATCGGCAACTTGTGATTTGTTGTTCTAAAACGCGTTAGCCAAATGCGTAGATTTTGTGGGAGAATTAAAAGATATGGTTCTAAAGTGGGTTCGCTTTTGAATAGTTTATAATAATCTGCCTTAGAGGAATTTTGAATATAAGCTTGCCAAGATTGTTTATACTAATCTGTTAATACTATTTTCACTTGTTGTTTGACTCACTGGACATCTGGTACAGCTTGTGATATCCACAAGTAATGCAGTCCAGTTTCTTGCAGGATTTGTTTTATCATATTCAATAGAGGAAATTGTACCTTTTCAGATTTAGATGACAGGGATTGCATTATTGAGTACATGATTTGTGGTAGCGGTTTTGGGGAAAGTAGGATTTTACACCAGAACGAAATGATTCTTACTTTGATGTTAATTATTATAGGGTAT